TTTTCAAATGTGATTTCGTTAAAAGCATTTTCCTTTTTGCAAATGTTTTTTAATTAATTTTTGACATTTCTCGAAGAATGTCCCATTTAATTAACAAGATCATTACGCGCCGCATGTGCACAACATAAAGAGTTGGGTCATCATGCCGAAGGTCATCAGTCAGTTCAACAGCCTCGTGTTTTTTGATTTTTAGTCGACGGAAATTAGAATTGTTGTGGTCGGCTAAAGTCGGGAAAAATCGTTTTTTTCTGTCAAAAACAAATATGTCTTGTCATTATGTCAAATTTCAAAAAAACTGTAAAAATCGTTCATGTTTTGACAAAATGTCACTACTGTCAAACTTTGAAGATTTATTTGTAAAAATGTTAAATTTTCTTGTTTTAAGAAGATGTCACTGTCAAATCGAGTATATTGACTTGTTCTATTAATTTGTATAAGAAAGAGATAAAAATACATTTTATCTGCACTGGTTGTACGTCACAAAACCATTGGGTTTTAGGAAAAAAAGAGCTTATCCAAACAAAAAAAAATTGACACCTGTCAAATGTCATTATTATTTCGACATTTAAGTGTTCTTGCATCGAAAACATTCATATTGTATAAAAATATTTTATAGCGTAATTATTTATGTAAAAACGTATTTCAAAAAATTTGAACCTGTCAAATGTTATTATTTTGACAGTTATTGTTATGTTATTTCTTAAATGAGACAATTTTTAACAGCTGTCACAAAGTAACTTTTCAAAAATTGACATCTGTCAAATTTATGTCATTTTTATAAAAATAAAATTGGACACTTTTAAACAGCTGTTAAAGTTGAATTTGACAATCTGTCATTTTTTTTTTTTGAAAATGTTCAAAATTGTTCTGGAATATGCGATTTTGTTCTCGAGTAGAAAAAAGTTGATTAGAACCTCCGCCCTTTGGGCTCGTTATTAAAAAAACTCCGGCCCTTCGGGTCGTAATTTTTGGAACAAAAAGACGTCATTTTGTATTGACTGTCAAACATAATTCAAAAATTTTTTGACGTTTGTTGTGTCATAAGCAGTGTTGCCATATGTTTATTTTGAATCTTCAGTCTGGCCGGAATTATTTTAATTACGAGCCCGAAAGGGCCGGAGTTATATGCGAGTCCGGCCCGAAGGGCCGGAGTTATATGCGAGTCCGACCCGAACGGCCGGAGTTATATGCGAGTCCGGCCCGAAGGGCCGGAATTATATGCGAGTCCGGCCCGAAGGGCCGGAATTATATGCGAGTCCGGCCCGAAGGGCCGGAATTATATGCGAGTCCGGCCCGAAGGGCCGGAATTATATGCGAGTCCGGCCCGAAGGGCCGGAATTATATGCGAGTCCGGCCCGAAGGGCCGGAGTTATATACGAGCCCGAAGGGCCGGAGTTATGAACACAAATAGCTACAAATTTTATTTCCATTTTATCTCTGTCCCTCTCTTACCCATTGAACCATTTCTCTCTATTTCAGACACTTGATTGGAAACTCCGCCATTTGGGTTCGTTATCAAAAAAACTCCGGCCCTTCGGGCCGTATTTTTTGGAACAAAAAGACACCATTTTGTATCAACTGTCAAAAATAATTACTCCCAAATTTTTTTGACGTTTGTTGTGTTATAAGCAGTGTTGCCATATGTTTATTTAAAATCTACAGCCTGGCCGGAATTATTTTAATTACGAGCCCGAAGAGCCAGAATTATGCGAGCCCGAAGGGCCGGAGTTATTGACACAAATAGCTAAACTTTTTATTCCCATTTTAGGCATTTTATCTCTGGTCCCTTTTTTACCCATTGAATTTTGTATACCATTTCTCTCTATTCCAGGTACATGATTGGCCACATAAAAGACCACTCAAGTACCAGGAATCATCAATTTATTTTTATCCTACTTTATATTTGTCTTTTTCTCAATCGTTGAATTATTTATAAGTTTGTCTTTTATTCTTGTTTTGTCATTGGCACAAATACCTGTAATTTTTGTTTCCATTTTATCTCTATCCCTTTCTTACCTATCGAATTATGCACAGTCATATTTCAAAAAATTTGAACCTGTCAAATATTATCATTTTGACAGGTAATGTCTATTGGGCTTCAAAATTATTGTCATTTCTTAAATTAGACAATTTTTAACAAATGTCAAAAAGTAACTTCTCAAAAATTGACATCTGTCAAATTTGTGTCATTTTTATAAAAATGAAATTGGACACTTTTAAACAGCTGTCAAAATTGAATTTGACAATCTGTCAATTTGTTTTTTTGGATCAAAGTTATCCAAAATGTTCAATATTGTACTGGAATGTTCGATTTTGTTCTAGAATGTTCTAGAGTAGGAAAAAGTTGATTAAAACCTCCGCCCTTTGGGTTCGATATTAAAAAAACTCCGGCCCTTCGGGCCGTAATTTTTGCAGCAAAAAGACGCCATTTTGTATTAACTGTCAAAAATAATTAATGGAGTAATACGAGCCCGAAGGGCCGGAGTTATATGCGAGCCCGAAGGGCCGGAATTATGCGAATTCAAAGGGTCGAAGTTATTAAAACAAATAGCTAAAATTTTTTTTGCCATTTTATCTCTGTCCCTTTCTTACCCATTGAATTTTGTATACCATTTCTCTCTATTCCAGGCACTTGATTGGCTAGATACAAGACCACTCAAGCGCCAGGAATAATCAATTTATTTTTATCCTACTTTATATTTGTCTCTCTCTTAATCGTTGAATTTTTTATAGGTTTGTCTCTTACTCTTGTTTCGTTATCGGCACAAATACCTGAAATTTTTGTTCCCATTTTATCTCTGTTTCTTTCTAACTCATTGAATTTTGTATGTCATTTCTCTCTATTTCAGACACTTGATTAGAAACTCCGCCATTTGGGTTCGTTATTAAAAAGACTACGGCCCTTTGTGCCGTATTTTTTGGAACAAAAAGACATCATTTTGTATTAACTGTCAAAAAGAATTACTTCAAATTTTTTTTGACGTTTGTTGTGTTATAAGCAGTGTTGTCATATGTTTATTTAAAATCTACAGCCTGACTGGAATTAATTTAATTACGAACCCGAAGGGCCGGAATTATGCAAGCCCGAAGGGCCGGAGTTACTAACACAAATAGCTAAAATTTTTATTCCCATTTTATTTCTGTCCTTTTCTTACCCATTGGATTTTTTATACCATTTCTCTTTATCTCAGACATTTGATTGGAAATTCCGCCATTTGGGTTCGTTATTAAAAAGACTCCGGTCCTTCGGGTCGTATTTTTTGGAACAAAAAGACACCATTTTGTATTAACTATCAAAAATAATTACTTCAAAATTTTTTTGACGTTTGTTGTGTCGTAAGCAGTGTTGCCATATGTTCATTTTAAATCTACAGTCTGGCCGGAATTATTTTAATTACGAGCTCGAAGGGCCGGAGTTACTAACACAAATAGTTAAGAAATGTATTACTATTTTATCTTTGTCCCTTTCTTACCCATTGAATTTTGTATACCATTTTTTATTCCAGGCACTTATGGCCATTTTCACCAACTATTTTAGAAGAGCCCTAACGATAAGAATTCCTATTTTTACTTGGAGAAATGTCAGTTTAAGGCCTAGCTATTATTAGGGCTTCCCTAAACTAGTTAGTGGAAATGGTCATCAATTTCTTAGATACTAATGGCTGTTTCCATCAAATATTTTAGGGGAGCCTTAACGATAAGTATTCCCTAAAATGACAGTCTTCCATGGAAAAATGCCAGTTTAAGGAATACTTATCCTTAAGGCGCCCCTAAATTAGTTGGTGAAAACGGCCATAACTAACCTAACCCAAAACAAAACAACGCCATTTTGGATTGATTGTCAAAAAATTACAAGGCCTACTTTGAAATGTCACAAATTTTGACATTTACGCCAGGGTTGCTGCATTTTCTGAATTAGGGTTGCTTCATTTTTACAAAATTTACAAAGGTTTTTTTAATAATGCTCCATGTTTTGGCTCATAACTCTGTCAATTGTCAACCGATTATGACGTAATCAGGCTTCAATTGAATCTTCTACAAATGACGTTCCGATGCAGCTTCAATAATTTCACAGCTTCAAGGGAGGAAAGTTTCTAATATTGACTGTCAAACTTTTTGACGTTTTTTGATAAAAACCCAGTGCGCACCGAGTATATTCATATCTTTTTCTACCAGCTTGTATAGGAAAGAGATAAAAATACATTTTCTAAATTCAGTTTTCACTTTCAAACAAAAGACTCTTAAAGACCCTCTTACACAAACCAAAATTAGTTATTTGTAGAGTCGTAAATCGGCCGAGCAGGCGATAAAAACCCCATCTCGCATAACATCGAGAGTCCGTTCATTATTTTATTTAAAACCTCGGAGATTTTATAGGCGCAGACGCCCACACCCACACAACAACAATAATTTTTTAATCACTCTTTCCTCAAAGTCATTATCCCTTATTTGAAAACGTCAGGCCCAGGCAAGGGGCAACTTAAAATCCCAAAACACACAAATACCCGTGTTGGTACCTGCTCTACTGGGTTCTCTGAAAACCGACCACCTGACCCGGTCCCCGGCCGAGAGTCATCTTGTACAATGACCTTTGGAATGCGGCTCTTAACCAACTTCAGGGGCGGACTTGGGAATTGTGCATGTAAAAATTATAAATTATTATTTTTAATTGATTTGCTAGGTACTACTTATTTAACAAAATAACGCATTAAAAAAATTATTAATTTAAAAAAAAAAAAAAAAAAAACAGGTCCGTCCCTGTAAGGGTGTGTGGTCGAAGGAACCTCGTTTCGGTTGTCTCGTTTGGTAGATACGAGGAACCCGAAGCTGATGGTGTGTGTTGTACCCGGACCCTAATTTTCATCTGAAGTTATTGCCAAGCAGTCAGTGGCGGCCCTAATCTAATTTGATTTTATTTTTTTTCAACTTTTGCAAATAAATAATAATTAACGACGCACCTGGTTTTATTATTATAAACAAATTGATTAATTCACACTTACCATTGATACTGGAATGGGTCCGGGGGCTCCATTGGCGTAGCCGTAGGGGGACACGAGATACCCCATGTTGAACGACGTGTGGGGCTCGACTTTTCCTAGAAAAAAAAAACTAGATTTATTTTCCAGTGGCTCGTTTGCATTATTTGAGTTCGTTTACATCGCAATATTTTTGTAATCTTCAAGCGCGCTAGTTGTAGATAAAAATCTCAGATTTATCTGTTGATAAAATGTGGTATTTTACTCACCGAACACGGGACTGTGGTCCGACCGTTGCAGGTGGGCATTTTTGCTTGACGAGTTGAAATTTCCGGATTTTTCCTGCAAGAAAAAAAAACAAAAATAATTGCCAACTTCATGGTGCAAATTTCGATGATTATTGAAAAAATTCCATCTCCGCCACTGTAGGCAATTCAAATTAGCTGATAATTTAAGATGGCGACGTGGGCATAACAAATTTGATTGTAAGTTGAATGTAAAACGTACCTTTACGGTTGTCAGGTGTGTTATACCCATGGCGCCATATTGGATTGAGAGAACCTCGAATCATCCTGTTGCTAACTTTTAAATGTCAAAAAAAGTGTTGCCAACATGGACGATAATTGAACATGGTAAAATGTTGCCAACTCCCCCCAAAAAAAAAAAACAGGGCAACAGGAAATTTTCTATCAAATGTCAAAGAAAACTAAGGGGGTTTTCAAGCGGTAACTTTGACAGATGAGCAACAGATTTTACGTCATTGTTTAACAAATGAAGTTTACTTCATTGTTTATCTAAAGCCTATTTTGGAATGTCAATTTTTTCGACGTTTGTTGTGTCATTAGCAGTGTTGTCAAATGTTTTTTGCAAAGGGCTGGATTTATACGAGCCTGTTCATTATCAACTGATTTTAATACTCCGGCCCTTCAGGCCGTAATTTTTGAAACAAAAAGACGCCATTTTGTATCGACTGTCAAAGAAAACAAGGCCTACTTTAAAACATCAGTTTTTTGACGTTTGTTGTGTTATAAGCACTGTTGCCATATGTTTTTTTCCAAATCTCGATTTTGGAAGGTTGAGGTTATTTGAATCACAAACCCGAAAGGCCGAGGTTATACGAGCCCGAAGGGCCGGAATTATACGAACCTAATCACGAGCTCGAAGGACCGGAATCATGCGAGCCCGCAGGGCCGGAGTTTTACGAGCTCGTGCATTGTCAACTAATTTTGATACTCCGGCCCTTCGGGCCGTAACTTTTGAAACAAAAAGACGCCATTTTGTATCAACTCTCAAAGAAAACAAGGCCTACTTTAAAACATTAATTTTTTGACGTTTGTTGTGTTATAAACAGTGTTGCCATATGTTTTTTTTTTCAAATTTTGATTCTGGAAGACCGAAGTTATTTTAATTACGAGCCCGAAGGGCCGGAGTTTTACGAGCTCATTTATTGTCAACTGATTTTAATACTCCGGCCCTTCGGGCCGTAATTTTTGAAACAAAAAGACGCCATTTTGTATCGACTGTCAAAGAAAACAAGGCCTACTTTAAAACATCAGTTTTTTGACGTTTGTTGTGTTATAAGCACTGTTGCCATATGTTTTTTTTTTGAAATCTTGATTTTGGAAGGTTGAGGTTATTTAAATTACAAGTCCGAAAAGTCGAGGTTATACAAGCTCGAAGGACCGGCATTATAAGAACCTAACAGGCCGGAGTTATCTTAATCACGAGCCCGAAGGGCCGGAATCATACGAGCCCGAAGGGCCGGAGTTTTACAAGCTTGTTCCTAGTAAACTGATTTTGATACTCCGGCCCTTTGGGCCGTAACTTTTGAAACAAAAAGACGCCATTTTGTATCAACTCTCAAAGAAAACAAGGCCTACTTTAAAACATTAATTTTTTGACGTTTGTTGTGTTATAAACAGTGTTGCCATATGTTTTTTTTTTCAAATTTTGATTCTGGAAGACCGAAGTTATTTTAATTACGAGCCCGAAGGGCCGGAGTTTTACGAGCTCATTTATTGTCAACTGATTTTAATACTCCGGCCCTTCGGGCCGTAATTTTTGAAACAAAAAGACGCCATTTTGTATCGACTGTCAAAGAAAACAAGGCCTACTTTAAAACGTCAATTTTTTGACGTTTGTTGTGTTATAAGGATTGTTGCTATATGCTTTCTTTCAAATCTCAATTCTGGAAGGCTGAGGTTATTTCAATTACGAGCTCAAGGTTATATGAGCCAGAATTATACGAGCCCGAAGGGCCGGAGTTATACGAGCTCATTTATTGTCAACTGATTTTAATACTCCGGCCCTTCGGGCCGTAATTTTTGAAACAAAAAGACGCCATTTTGTATCGACTGTCAAAGAAAACAAGGCCTACTTTAAAATGTCAATTTTTTGACGTTTGTTGTGTTATAAGCATTGTTGCTATATGCTTTCTTTCAAATCTCAATTCTGGAAGGCTGAGGTTATTTCAATTACGAGCTCAAGGTTATATGAGCCAGAATTATACGAGCCCGAAGGGCCGGAGTTATACGAGCTCATTTATTGTCAACTGATTTTAATACTCCGGCCCTTCGGGCCGTAATTTTTGAAACAAAAAGACGCCATTTTGTATCGACTGTCAAAGAAAACAAGGCCTACTTTAAAACATCGATTTTTTGACGTTTGTTGTGTTATAAACAGTGTTGCCATATGTTTTTTTTTTCAAATTTTGATTCTGGAAGACCGAAGTTATTTTAATTACGAGCCCGAAGGGCCGGAGTTTTACGAGCTCATTTATTGTCAACTGATTTTAATATTCCGGCCCTTCGGGTCGTAACTTTTAAAACAAAAAGACGCCATTTTGTATCGACTATCAAAGAAAACAAGGCCTACTTTAAAACGTCAATTTTTTGACGTTTGTTGTGTTATAAGGATTGTTGCTATATGCTTTCTTTCAAATCTCAATTCTGGAAGGCTGAGGTTATTTCAATTACGAGCTCAAGGTTATATGAGCCAGAATTATACGAGCCCGAAGGGCCGGAGTTATACGAGCTCATTTATTGTCAACTGATTTTAATACTCCGGCCCTTCGGGCCGTAATTTTTGAAACAAAAAGACGCCATTTTGTATCGACTGTCAAAGAAAACAAGGCCTACTTTAAAATGTCAATTTTTTGACGTTTGTTGTGTTATAAGCATTGTTGCTATATGCTTTCTTTCAAATCTCAATTCTGGAAGGCTGAGGTTATTTCAATTACGAGCTCAAGGTTATATGAGCCAGAATTATACGAGCCCGAAGGGCCGGAGTTATACGAGCTCATTTATTGTCAACTGATTTTAATACTCCGGCCCTTCGGGCCGTAATTTTTGAAACAAAAAGACGCCATTTTGTATCGACTGTCAAAGAAAACAAGGCCTACTTTAAAACATCGATTTTTTGACGTTTGTTGTGTTATAAACAGTGTTGCCATATGTTTTTTTTTTCAAATTTTGATTCTGGAAGACCGAAGTTATTTTAATTACGAGCCCGAAGGGCCGGAGTTTTACGAGCTCATTTATTGTCAACTGATTTTAATATTCCGGCCCTTCGGGTCGTAACTTTTAAAACAAAAAGACGCCATTTTGTATCGACTATCAAAGAAAACAAGGCCTACTTTAAAACATCAGTTTTTTGACGTTTGTTGTGTTATAAGCATTGTTGCCATATGCTTTCTTTCAAATCTCAATTCTGGAAGGCTGAGGTTATTTCAATTACGAGCTCAAGGTTATATGAGCCAGAATTATACGAGCCCGAAGGGCCGGAGTTATACGAGCTCATTTATTGTCAACTGATTTTAATACTCCGGCCCTTCGGGCCGTAATTTTTGAAACAAAAAGACGCCATTTTGTATCGACTGTCAAAGAAAACAAGGCCTACTTTAAAACATCGATTTTTTGACGTTTGTTGTGTTATAAACAGTGTTGCCATATGTTTTTTTTTTCAAATTTTGATTCTGGAAGACCGAAGTTATTTTAATTACGAGCCCGAAGGGCCGGAGTTTTACGAGCTCATTTATTGTCAACTGATTTTAATATTCCGGCCCTTCGGGTCGTAACTTTTAAAACAAAAAGACGCCATTTTGTATCGACTATCAAAGAAAACAAGGCCTACTTTAAAACGTCAATTTTTTGACGTTTGTTGTGTTATAAGGATTGTTGCTATATGCTTTCTTTCAAATCTCAATTCTGGAAGGCTGAGGTTATTTCAATTACGAGCTCAAGGTTATATGAGCCAGAATTATACGAGCCCGAAGGGCCGGAGTTATACGAGCTCATTTATTGTCAACTGATTTTAATACTCCGGCCCTTCGGGCCGTAATTTTTGAAACAAAAAGACGCCATTTTGTATCGACTATCAAAGAAAACAAGGCCTACTTTAAAACATCGATTTTTTGACGTTTGTTGTGTTATAAACAGTGTTGCCATATGTTTTTTTTTTTTCAAATTTTGATTCTGGAAGGCCGAAGTTATTTTAATTACGAGCCCGAAGGGCCGGAGTTTTACGAGCTCATTTATTGTCAACTGATTTTAATATTCCGGCCCTTCGGGTCGTAACTTTTAAAACAAAAAGACGCCATTTTGTATCGACTATCAAAGAAAACAAGGCCTACTTTAAAACGTCAATTTTTTGACGTTTGTTGTGTTATAAGGATTGTTGCTATATGCTTTCTTTCAAATCTCAATTCTGGAAGGCTGAGGTTATTTCAATTACGAGCTCAAGGTTATATGAGCCAGAATTATACGAGCCCGAAGGGCCGGAGTTATACGAGCTCATTTATTGTCAACTGATTTTAATACTCCGGCCCTTCGGGCCGTAATTTTTGAAACAAAAAGACGCCATTTTGTATCGACTGTCAAAGAAAACAAGGCCTACTTTAAAACATCGATTTTTTGACGTTTGTTGTGTTATAAACAGTGTTGCCATATGTTTTTTTTTTCAAATTTTGATTCTGGAAGACCGAAGTTATTTTAATTACGAGCCCGAAGGGCCGGAGTTTTACGAGCTCATTTATTGTCAACTGATTTTAATATTCCGGCCCTTCGGGTCGTAACTTTTAAAACAAAAAGACGCCATTTTGTATCGACTATCAAAGAAAACAAGGCCTACTTTAAAACATCAGTTTTTTGACGTTTGTTGTGTTATAAGCATTGTTGCCATATGCTTTCTTTCAAATCTCAATTCTGGAAGGCTGAGGTTATTTCAATTACGAGCTCAAGGTTATATGAGCCAGAATTATACGAGCCCGAAGGGCCGGAGTTATACGAGCTCATTTATTGTCAACTGATTTTAATACTCCGGCCCTTCGGGCCGTAATTTTTGAAACAAAAAGACGCCATTTTGTATCGACTGTCAAAGAAAACAAGGCCTACTTTAAAACATCGATTTTTTGACGTTTGTTGTGTTATAAACAGTGTTGCCATATGTTTTTTTTTTCAAATTTTGATTCTGGAAGACCGAAGTTATTTTAATTACGAGCCCGAAGGGCCGGAGTTTTACGAGCTCATTTATTGTCAACTGATTTTAATATTCCGGCCCTTCGGGTCGTAACTTTTAAAACAAAAAGACGCCATTTTGTATCGACTATCAAAGAAAACAAGGCCTACTTTAAAACGTCAATTTTTTGACGTTTGTTGTGTTATAAGGATTGTTGCTATATGCTTTCTTTCAAATCTCAATTCTGGAAGGCTGAGGTTATTTCAATTACGAGCTCAAGGTTATATGAGCCAGAATTATACGAGCCCGAAGGGCCGGAGTTATACGAGCTCATTTATTGTCAACTGATTTTAATACTCCGGCCCTTCGGGCCGTAATTTTTGAAACAAAAAGACGCCATTTTGTATCGACTGTCAAAGAAAACAAGGCCTACTTTAAAACATCGATTTTTTGACGTTTGTTGTGTTATAAACAGTGTTGCCATATGTTTTTTTTTTCAAATTTTGATTCTGGAAGACCGAAGTTATTTTAATTACGAGCCCGAAGGGCCGGAGTTTTACGAGCTCATTTATTGTCAACTGATTTTAATATTCCGGCCCTTCGGGTCGTAACTTTTAAAACAAAAAGACGCCATTTTGTATCGACTATCAAAGAAAACAAGGCCTACTTTAAAACGTCAATTTTTTGACGTTTGTTGTGTTATAAGGATTGTTGCTATATGCTTTCTTTCAAATCTCAATTCTGGAAGGCTGAGGTTATTTCAATTACGAGCTCAAGGTTATATGAGCCAGAATTATACGAGCCCGAAGGGCCGGAGTTATACGAGCTCATTTATTGTCAACTGATTTTAATACTCCGGCCCTTCGGGCCGTAATTTTTGAAACAAAAAGACGCCATTTTGTATCGACTGTCAAAGAAAACAAGGCCTACTTTAAAACATCGATTTTTTGACGTTTGTTGTGTTATAAACAGTGTTGCCATATGTTTTTTTTTTCAAATTTTGATTCTGGAAGACCGAAGTTATTTTAATTACGAGCCCGAAGGGCCGGAGTTTTACGAGCTCATTTATTGTCAACTGATTTTAATATTCCGGCCCTTCGGGTCGTAACTTTTAAAACAAAAAGACGCCATTTTGTATCGACTATCAAAGAAAACAAGGCCTACTTTAAAACATCAGTTTTTTGACGTTTGTTGTGTTATAAGCATTGTTGCCATATGCTTTCTTTCAAATCTCAATTCTGGAAGGCTGAGGTTATTTCAATTACGAGCTCAAGGTTATATGAGCCAGAATTATACGAGCCCGAAGGGCCGGAGTTATACGAGCTCATTTATTGTCAACTGATTTTAATACTCCGGCCCTTCGGGCCGTAATTTTTGAAACAAAAAGACGCCATTTTGTATCGACTGTCAAAGAAAACAAGGCCTACTTTAAAACATCGATTTTTTGACGTTTGTTGTGTTATAAACAGTGTTGCCATATGTTTTTTTTTTCAAATTTTGATTCTGGAAGACCGAAGTTATTTTAATTACGAGCCCGAAGGGCCGGAGTTTTACGAGCTCATTTATTGTCAACTGATTTTAATATTCCGGCCCTTCGGGTCGTAACTTTTAAAACAAAAAGACGCCATTTTGTATCGACTATCAAAGAAAACAAGGCCTACTTTAAAACGTCAATTTTTTGACGTTTGTTGTGTTATAAGGATTGTTGCTATATGCTTTCTTTCAAATCTCAATTCTGGAAGGCTGAGGTTATTTCAATTACGAGCTCAAGGTTATATGAGCCAGAATTATACGAGCCCGAAGGGCCGGAGTTATACGAGCTCATTTATTGTCAACTGATTTTAATACTCCGGCCCTTCGGGCCGTAATTTTTGAAACAAAAAGACGCCATTTTGTATCGACTGTCAAAGAAAACAAGGCCTACTTTAAAATGTCAATTTTTTGACGTTTGTTGTGTTATAAGCATTGTTGCTATATGCTTTCTTTCAAATCTCAATTCTGGAAGGCTGAGGTTATTTCAATTACGAGCTCAAGGTTATATGAGCCAGAATTATACGAGCCCGAAGGGCCGGAGTTATACGAGCTCATTTATTGTCAACTGATTTTAATACTCCGGCCCTTCGGGCCGTAATTTTTGAAACAAAAAGACGCCATTTTGTATCGACTGTCAAAGAAAACAAGGCCTACTTTAAAACATCGATTTTTTGACGTTTGTTGTGTTATAAACAGTGTTGCCATATGTTTTTTTTTTCAAATTTTGATTCTGGAAGACCGAAGTTATTTTAATTACGAGCCCGAAGGGCCGGAGTTTTACGAGCTCATTTATTGTCAACTGATTTTAATATTCCGGCCCTTCGGGTCGTAACTTTTAAAACAAAAAGACGCCATTTTGTATCGACTATCAAAGAAAACAAGGCCTACTTTAAAACGTCAATTTTTTGACGTTTGTTGTGTTATAAGGATTGTTGCTATATGCTTTCTTTCAAATCTCAATTCTGGAAGGCTGAGGTTATTTCAATTACGAGCTCAAGGTTATATGAGCCAGAATTATACGAGCCCGAAGGGCCGGAGTTATACGAGCTCATTTATTGTCAACTGATTTTAATACTCCGGCCCTTCGGGCCGTAATTTTTGAAACAAAAAGACGCCATTTTGTATCGACTGTCAAAGAAAACAAGGCCTACTTTAAAATGTCAATTTTTTGACGTTTGTTGTGTTATAAGCATTGTTGCTATATGCTTTCTTTCAAATCTCAATTCTGGAAGGCTGAGGTTATTTCAATTACGAGCTCAAGGTTATATGAGCCAGAATTATACGAGCCCGAAGGGCCGGAGTTATACGAGCTCATTTATTGTCAACTGATTTTAATACTCCGGCCCTTCGGGCCGTAATTTTTGAAACAAAAAGACGCCATTTTGTATCGACTGTCAAAGAAAACAAGGCCTACTTTAAAACATCGATTTTTTGACGTTTGTTGTGTTATAAACAGTGTTGCCATATGTTTTTTTTTTCAAATTTTGATTCTGGAAGACCGAAGTTATTTTAATTACGAGCCCGAAGGGCCGGAGTTTTACGAGCTCATTTATTGTCAACTGATTTTAATATTCCGGCCCTTCGGGTCGTAACTTTTAAAACAAAAAGACGCCATTTTGTATCGACTATCAAAGAAAACAAGGCCTACTTTAAAACGTCAATTTTTTGACGTTTGTTGTGTTATAAGCATTGTTGCCATATGCTTTCTTTCAAATCTCAATTCTGGAAGGCTGAGGTTATTTCAATTACGAGCTCAAGGTTATATGAGCCAGAATTATACGAGCCCGAAGGGCCGGAGTTATACGAGCTCATTTATTCTCAACTGATTTTAATACTCCGGCCCTTCGGGCCGTAATTTTTGAAACAAAAAGACGCCATTTTGTATCAACTGTCAAAGAAAATAAGGCCTACTTTAAAATATCAGTTTTTTGACATTTGTTGTGTCATAAGCACTGTTGTCATATGTTTTTTTTTTAAATCTCGATTCTGGAAGGCTCAAGTTATTTCAATTATGAGCCCGAAGGGCCGGAGTTATTTTAATCACGAGCCCGAAGGGCCGGAATTATACAAGCCCGTTTATTGTCAACCGATTTTAATACTCTAGTCCTTCGGGCTCGTAATCTTCAAGACGCCATTTTGTATCAATTGTCAAAAAAAACAAGGCCTACTTTGAAATTTCAATTTTTTGACGTTTGTTGTATCATGAGCAGTGTTGCCATAAGTTTTGTGAACCCAATCAAGAGCCGGGAATAATCAAAATTCGAATCCCCAAACCAATCAAAAGCCGGGAAAATTCAAAAATTTCAAACCCAACGGGAAATTGAATTTTTCGTAGGTACCAACTGTTGCTACAAACGAATTCAATAAATTTTCATATAACAAGTGTTGCTACATAAATCTCACCCTAAAACCCACTAAAAACAACTTGTTGCTACACTTTCGCTCGTGTTGTTATCCTTTTCTCTACCAATTATTGTTGTAATCTAATATCCCCTTAAGAAACCCACAAAAAATCGAATGTTGCTACAAAAATTCAACGAAATTTCACTCCAAAAACCAACTATCCTCAAATGACTCTTTGCTACACAAAAACAGATGTTGCTACACTTTTTTTTCCTAAATGTTGCTACATAAATTCATTGAAATCTTGCTTTAAATCTACTTGAAATTGTCCTCAATGTTTGTGTTGCTACACTTGTGTTTTCGGTGTTGCTACAATGGGTACAACAAAATCTCGCCCTGAGCAAAAACTGACTTGTTACTAGTGTTGCTACACTTGTTTTTTCCGTATTGCTACAAGGTATATAACAAAATCTTGCCTTGAACAAAAACTGACTTGTTACGAGTGTTGCTACATATTTTGAACTTGTGTTGCTACACAAATCAAGTGTTGCTACACTCTTTTTTTTTTCCTCCGTATTGCTACATTTGAATCTTGTTCCAAACCTACAACTAAAAAAATCAAGTGTTGCTACAACAAATCCAGTGTTGCTACACCCGTAACTCCTAAACTACTCGTCCGATTTCGACGATTCTTGCACCAAATTGAAGCCGACTGAATTACCTCCGACTCGGTGAGATCGATGAGGCTGCTCTTAACCTCGGTGAGGTTCTCCGAGGACCGTTTCTCGTCCTCGTCGATACCCTCGTCCTTGTACACCTTGACCTCATCGGTGCTGCCGAGATCATCGCCGCCGCCGCCGGACGAGACGTGTGGCATGATTTACTTGAAGCGGCACGGCGGCATCACGCAGCGGCGCACCTCTTCAAAAAAATTCCGACATTTTTTCAATGCACTTTTGTATTTCGATTCCCGAAAAAAAAAAAAAAAAATAATAAAAACCACGGCACTGGTTTTTTTTTTGTAGCAACAACAACGCACCAATAATAATAATAATAACAAAAACGGTAGCAACAAAAACCGGAAACGCGGCACACGTGTCTTCTTCTTTTTTTTAAATTAATTGTCAAAAAAAAAAAAAAAAAGTCTTCTTTTTTTTCTTCAAAAAAAAAAAAAATGTTTTTGACAGTTGTTGGCGCGGCGGACAAAACAACGTAAAGAGGCGAGACGGCGAACTTCACTGCGGCGCCTTTTGCTCAACACTGAAACGAGAGAAAAGGAAGAGACGGTGCGGTGTGTGTGTGTGTGTAGGAGGCGCACCCACAAAGACCAAGCCGATCGCAGCGCCGACGCTTTGTGCCCAAGCCGACCAATCGCAGGCCGACTTTGATGCTGCCGAGGCGGCGTCGGCAGCAATGGCAGCCGACGCGAGCTTGCGCACTGTGACACAGACCTAATATGGACATTTAACAGGCCGGAGTACATATTTTTCAGTTTTTTGAAAAAAACAATTTTTGATTGACATTTAAAAGTGTCATTTTTGTTACATTTTCGATTGACAAGTGTGACGTTCTTATCAAAATATCGGTATTATTATGTAAATATTTTTTACTCTGTTGCTACTTACCAACGTTATTAAAAAAGCATTGCTACCGGAAATGACGTCATAATACAAAGGAGTCTGTAAAATTTAAAAAAAAAAAAAAACCAATCAATTTTTTTTTTGACCAATTTTCGACCTGTTGCTACCAAATTAAATAACGACCTGTTGCTACACGTCCAGCGCCAGGCCGGGGCGACTCCTACATCGTTACAAAACGCAACGACGGTCCATAAATTAGTAGAAAATAAACGTCAGAAAAGGAATTAATCATCGGCGTAATGATCTGCCTGCTCCGGCCCAGGGTGGGAGAACCAGAGCTTAGGCCCGAACAGGCCTTTTACAGGCCGGAAATTTTACCAATTTGTTGCTACTTTAAATTTTGACTTTTGATTGTTGTTATTTGTTGCTTCTTATGTCAATTAATTGTCATTAGCGGCATTTGTTGCTTATTTTGACAAGTTTTCAGATAAACTAGACATCATTTTAAAATTGACAACAATGGCATCATTGTTATTTCATTTCTCTGTCAACTGGCTTCAATTGAAGCCTAATTACGTCAAAATCGATTGACAATTGACAAAGTTTTGGAGTACACTAGGTTTTGAAAATGTGACAACCCTGGCATCAAAAAATTTGACATTCAAAGTAGGCCTTGTAATTATTTTTGACAATTAATACAAAATGGCGTTTCTTTAAGTTTAAGGAAGCCCGAAGGGCCGGAGTATTCAAAATTACGAGCCCGTAGGGCGAGAGTTTTTTTAAAATAAGAGGCCGAAGTATTAAAATCAATTGACAATGAACCGGCTCGTATAACTCCGGCCCTTCGGGCTCGTAATTAAAATAATCTCAACTTCTCAGGATTGAGATTTAAAAAAAAAAACATAATGGCAACACTGCTTATGTCACAACAAACGTCAAAAAATTGACGTTTCAAAATAGGCCTTGTTTTCTTTGACAGTCGATACAAAATGGCGTCTTTTTGTTTCAAAGATTACGGCCCGAAGGGCCGGAGTATCAAAATCAATTGACAATGAACGGACTCGTATAACTCCGGCCCTTCGGGCTCGTAATTAGAATAACCCCGGTCTTTCTGAAATCAAAATTTGAAAAAAAAACATATGGTAACATTCCTCATGTCACAACAAACGTCAAAAAATTGACGTTTCAAAGTAGGCCTTGTTTTCTTTGACAGTCGATACAAAATGGTGTCTTTTTGTTTCAAAAATTACGGCCCGAAGGGCCGGTGTATTAAAATCAGTTGACAATGAACGAGCTTGTATAACTCCGGCCCTTCGGGCTCGCATGATTCCGGCCCTTCGAGTTCGTAATTAAAATAACTCCGGCCTGTTGGTTTCTATAACTCCAGCCCTTCGGGCTCGTATAACCTCGGCCCTTCAAGCTCCTAATTGAAATAACCTCAGCCTTCCAGAATCGAGATTTGAAAAAAAACATATGGCAACACTGCTTATGACACAACTAACTTCAAAAAAATTGACGTTTCAAAATAGGCCTTGTTTTCTTTGACAGTCGATACAAAATGGCGTCTTTTTGTTTTAAAGATTACGGCCCAAAGGGCCGGAGTATCAAAATCAGTTGACAATGAACGGACTTGTATAACTCCGGCCCTTCGGGCTCGTAATCAAAATAACCCCAGTCTTTCTGAAATCAAAATTTGAAAAAAAAAACATATGGTAACATTGCTCATGTCACAACAAACGTCAAAAAATTAACGTTTCAAAATAGGCCTTGTTTTCTTTGACAGTCAATACAAAATGGCGTCTTTTTGTTTCAAAGATTACGGCCCAAAGGGCCGGAGTATCAAAATCAGTTGACAATGAACGGACTTGTATAACTCCGGCCCTTCGGGCTCGTAATCAAAATAACCCCGGTCTTTCTGAAATCAAAATTTGAAAAAAAACATATGGTAACATTGCTTATGTCACAACAAACGTCAAAAAATTGACGTTTCAAAATAGGCCTTGTTTTCTTTGACAGTCAATACAAAATGGCGTCTTTTTGTTTCAAAAGTTACGGCCCAAAGGGCCGGAGTATCAAAATCAGTTGACAATGAACGGACTTGTATAACTCCGGCCCTTCGGGCTCGTAATCAAAATAACCCCAGTCTTTCTGAAATCAAAATTTGAAAAAAAAAACATATGGTAACATTGCTCATGTCACAACAAACGTCAAAAAATTGACGTTTCAAAATAGGCCTTGTTTTCTTTGACAGTCAATATAAAATGGCGTCTTTTTGTTTCAAAGATTACGGCCCAAAGGGCCGGAGTATCAAAATCAATTGACAATGAACAGACTCGTATAACTCCGGCCCTTCGGGCTCGTAATCAAAATAACCCCAGTCTTTCTGAAATCAAAATTTGAAAAAAAAAACATATGGTAACATTGCTCATGTCACAACAAATGTCAAAAAATTGACGTTTCAAAGTAGACCTTGTTTTCTTTGATAGTCAATACAAAATGGCGTCTTTTTGTTTCAAAGATTACGGCCCAAAGGGCCGGAGTATCAAAATCAGTTGACAATGAACGGACTTGTATAACTCCGGCCCTTCGGGCTCGTAATCAAAATAACCCCAGTCTTTCTGAAATCAAAATTTGAAAAAAAAAACATATGGTAACATTGCTCATGTCACAACAAACGTCAAAAAATTGACGTTTCAAAATAGGCCTTGTTTTCTTTGACAGTCAATACAAAATGGCGTCTTTTTGTTTCAAAGATTACGGCCCAAAGGGCCGGAGTATCAAAATCAGTTGACAATGAACGGACTTGTATAACTCCGGCCCTTCGGGCTCGTAATCAAAATAACCCCAGTCTTTCTGAAATCAAAATTTGAAAAAAAAAACATATGGTAACATTGCTCATGTCACAACAAACGTCAAAAAATTGACGTTTCAAAGTAGGCCTTATTTTCTTTGACAGTCAATACAAAATGGTGTCTTTTTGTTTCAAAAATTACGGCCCGAAGGGCCGGTGTATTAAAATCAGTTGACAATGAACGAGCTTATATAACTCCGGCCCTTCGAGTTCGTAATTAAAATAACTCCGGCCTGTTGGTTTCTATAACTCCAGCCCTTCGGGCTCGTATAACCTCAGCCTTTCGGGCTTGTAATTAAAATAACCCCAGCTTTTCAGGATCGAAATTTAAAAAAAAAAAACATATGGCAACACTGCTTATGACAAAACTAACTTCAAAAAAATTGACGTTTCAAAGTAGGCCTTGTGTTCTTTGACAGTCGATACAAAATGGCGTCTTTTTATTTCAAAGATTACGAGCCTGAAGGGCCGGAGTATTAAAATCAGTTGACAATGAACGGACTCGTAAAACTCCGGCCCTTCGGGCTCGTAATTAAAATAGCTCCAGCTTTTCAAGATCGAGATTTAAAAAAAAAAAAAAACATGTGGCAACACTGCTTATGACACAAAAGTAGGCCTTGTTTTCTTTGATAGTCAATACAAAATAGCGTTTTTTTTGTTAAGATTGAAAACACTCTTGCCCTTCGGGCTTGTGAAAAAAGGCGCCTTTTCAATCCTCTAGTGTCACAGTGTTGCCAATACCTAAAAACTTTAGTTAATCTACCACTGTCCACTGACGTCACATACATAACCCCACTTTCGCTGGGCTTACAACATGTCATCGAGGTTATGTGTGTGTGACGTCAGCTAGCACCTAATTAGGCAATCGGTTCCAATATGGCCGTTGAGGTCAAATTGTAATAACGTTCATAAAAAAAAAAGCATTTTTGTTCAGGGCCCCATAGACTACAGGGCCCTTATTGTTGTAGATGCCAAATATGACAATATGAAAATGCCATTGTCAAACCTAAATGTTTAGAATGTGACAAAATAGTAACGTCATTGATTTCTATTAGTAATCTTAATGTAAATAACACGGTGTCTGATCTGAGGCCTTATTCTTGATTTTCTCTCAAGAGAAAATTTGACTGTGTTGACAATTAAACAGTGCATTTACTGTCAACAATGTCAACAAAGTCAAGAATAATGCCTCCGAATTTCTATATTGAATTTCGTTTGACAGGTCATAAGATTGCCTAATAGGAAGCTGCGCAGCTGAGAAACTGTTAAAGCTGCATTAAAATTAAAAGATTCAATTTTAATTACGTCAAAATCGGTTGACAATTGACAGAATTATAAACCAAAATATGAAGCGATGTCAAAAAAACCAAGTAGGCCTTGTAATTTTTTTAGCGGAAACTTTAAAACCTTGCAGCTGTCAAACTATTGAAGTTACGTCAAAACTTTAAATTTGTAATTTGTAGAGAATTCAATCGGCTTCAATTTAAGCCTAGTTACATCAAAATCGGTTCGAAATTGGAAAAGTTATGGGCCAATACAAGATCAAACTTCCATAAAAAAAAGTCGATATTGAGGCACGTTTTATTTTTTCCTGATCCAAATTTTTCATCAATCGGCTTGAAATTTTACCAGTGAAGAAAAAAAATCAAAAAGTCCTTTAGATTTCTCAAAAATTATACAAATTGACATATGTGAACTGACACAACTGAAAAAAAAGCCACCCCTTAAATAAAACGTAAACAAAAACAGCCCTTATAATACCCGAAAATCCACCCCCTCGAGAGCCGAAAACTGACATACAAAGGGCCGAGAATCCCAAGAAAAAAGGCCCTTTTTTTTGAATTATTCTGTGTTACACCCTCATTCCAGTCATTCCTAGAAAGGGATTTTTCTACCTGCCTGTTGCAGGTTGCAAAAGCCTTTCTTGGCTCAATAAACCCCTGTGCGCTTCCGCCACACAATCAAGAAACCCAAAAACTTAACCGATCGAAAACTAGATGGCGCCATATTTAATTTCAATGAGGTTATGATGATTCAGTAATCAATAAAACAAATTATTTGTTGTTTTGTTTTGCAGCCTCAAAATGCCCGCTCCGGTGATTTTGCTGGCTTGCGGTTGCTACAACCCAGTCACCTATATGCACCTTAGAATGTTCGGTAAGTAATAGCAACAATGTAGCAACACACACAAAAATTTTAAAAAAAAATTCTTAGAAATCGCCCGGGATTATTTGCACAAGATGGGCCAATATGAAGTAGTGGGAGGTATAATTTCTCCTGTACACGACGCTTATGGGAAAAAGGGGCTGGCGCCAGCGGCGCACCGTTTAGGGATGCTCAAATTAGCCCTAAAAGACAGCAATTGGATCAAAGTTTCCGATTACGAGGCCAAAGAAGAGAGTTGGACAAGGACAAAAAATGTTTTACAATTTCATCAAGTGTGTACTTGTACTAGTAGCGACATCTATCTAGTTGCTTGCTAATAAAATTTATTTTTCCTAAATTGTTTAGAACCAAGTTAACGCCTTTTTGCACTCAAATGTCAACGAAGAAGAACTAAAATGGCTGCCTGACAGTGTAAAAACGTCAAACTATAACAACATTGTTGTCAAGTTGCTTTGTGGAGGTGATTTATTGGAGTCTTTTGGCACCCCAAACTTGTGGGCAAATGAAGATGTAAATAATTTTCAAATACAGTGTTGCCAAATTATTGAAAAAAAAATAAATATATTTTTTAGATTGAGGCAATTGTAGGGCAACATGGCTTAATAGTAATAACACGCAGCAATACCAACCCTAATGAGTTTGTTTATAACTCAGACATTTTAACCAAACTAATGGTAAGTAATTTCTGAATCATTTGCAGTCTCAGAAATGGTTTATTTGCAGCCCCAAATCCAAATAGTAACAGAATGGATCAGTAACGAAATAAGTTCAACGCGGATCAGAACAGCTCTGAGACGCTCAGAATCGGTCAAGTATTTAATCCCTGATCAAGTGATTGATTATATTTACAAAAATCAATTGTATGGGGCCAAAAATAAAACAGCGTAAGTAAATGAAAACTCAGAAGATTTTTTAATTTCCAAAAAAAAAAACATTGGGACGCTGCTCAGAAGCTACTGCTCAATACCTCCTACTCCGCAGAAAAATTGTCTGTACATTTGCAATCTGAACAGGCCTTCAAAAGGCCCTGGACAAGCTGTCAAAATAATGTCAACTTCTGAGGTTTGTATTGAGCCGAAAAGTTGCGACGAAAATCTGATTAGGTTTATTTTTTCCGAGCACGGCATTCGGGTCATCAGCGATGTGGAAACGATTGTTTAAATTCTGATGCTGCATGTTTTGTTTCAGAAAATGTCCCTAGAGGGAGCTGCATGTTTGTAGATGTGCCACCCCCCCTTCCTACACCAATTTGTAACTGCTTTGCCTTTTGCATTTTCACCTTGTGTGAAGTAGGCTTTAGTTTTATTGTGTAAATTAAAATGTTACTGTCAAATGTCATTATTTTTTCAAAATTTTGATACTTTTGGTTATAAGTTTGTCAATTTTCAAGCGATTTTGATGAAATTGGTTATAAATTGAAGCCAATTAAATTCTTTATAAATATATTGTTTTTGCTTTGGTTCAAGTTCAATGTAAAATGGCCAAAACAGCAAGTTTTTAGAAATTTGTATAATGATTGTTGCAACTTACCAGTTTTCAATGAAAATCTAAGGCCCGGCCTGGAATTTTGTGTATTTTCAACGCAAAACACTTCAATAAACACTTTAAGACACTTTTTAGCTTTTAATTTGTCCAAAAAAACCTCAATATTATGCAAAAATACCCTGACCGTGGGTCCCCAAAAACATTATAGGCCGCCATGATAGTACCAACTGATTAAAAAAAAAAAAAACGAAAAAATTTGCAACTTACCAGTTTTCAATCAAAATCTAAGGCCCGGCCTGGAATTTTGTGTATTTTCGACGCAAAACACTTCAGTGAACACTTTAAGACACTTTTTTTCTATTAAATTGTTCAAAAAACCCCAAATTAATGCAAAAAACCTGGGACGTGGGCCCCAAACAACATCAAAATCCACCATGACAGTACCAACTGTCAAAAGGAAAATAATTCCCAAAGCCTACTTGCGCAATGTTACAGTGTTGTCACATTAATATTTTAATACAACAATAAAAATTGAATTATTAACATTAAATAAACAGGTAAAATTAATAGATTTTAACTTTTTTGCCCTAATTTCAATCAAATGTCAAGTGTCAAGTGTCAAATTTTAATATCGGTTTTTTTTTTGAAATTTTGACATGTTGGCTCATAACTTTTTCAATTCCTGACCGATTTTGATGAAATTAGGCTTAAAATGAAGCCAATTAAATTCCCTACAAACACATTGGCAACAAGTCCAATGTAAAATGGCCAAAACAACAATTTTTCAGAAATTTGTATAATTATTGTTGCAACTTACCAGTTTTTCAATAAAAATCTAAGGCCCGGCCTGGAATTTTGTGTATTTTCAACGCAAAACACTTCAATAAACACTTTAAGACACTTTTTAGCTTTTAATTTGTCCAAAAAAACCTCAATATTATGCAAAAATATCCGGACCCTCAAAAACATTATAGGCCGCCATGATAGTACCAACTGATTAAAAAAAAAAAAACGAAAAAATTTGCAACTTACCAGTTTTCAATCAAAATCTAAGGCCCGGCCTGGAATTTTGTGTATTTTCGACGCAAAACACTTCAGTGAACACTTTAAGACACTTTTTTTTCTATTAAATTGTTCAAAAAACCCCAAATTAGTGCAAAAAACCTGGGACGTGGGCCCCAAACAACATCAAAATCCACCATGACAGTACCAACTGTCAAAAAGAAAATAATTCCAAACTTGCGCAATGTTACAGTGTTGTCACATTAATATTCTAATACAACATACAACAATGAAAATTGAATAATTAATATTAAATAAACAGGTAAAATTAATAGATTTTAACTTTTTTGTCCTAATTTCAATCAAATGTCAAGTGTCAGGTGTCAAATTCTAACAATATCGTTTTTTTTTTTGAAATTTTGACATGTTGGCTCATAACTTTTTCATTTTCTGACCGATTTTGATGAAATTAGGCTTAAAATGAAGCCAATTAAATTCCCTACAAACACATTGGCAACAAGTCCAATGTAAAATGGCCAAAACAACAATTTTTCAGAAATTTGTATAATTATTGTTGCAACTTACCAGTTTTCAATGAAAATCTAAGGCCCGACCTGGAATTTTGTGTATTTTCGACGCAAAACACTTCAATTAATACTTTAAGACACTTTTTTTCTATTAAATTGTTCAAAAAAACCCCAAATTAATGCAAAAAACCTGGGACGTGGGCCCCAAACAACATCAAAATCCACCATGACAGTACCAACTGTCAAAAGGAAAATAATTCCAAAGCCTACTTGCGCGATGTTACAGTGTTGTCACCTTAATATACTAATAAAACAATGAAAATTGAATAATTAACATTAAATAAACAGGTAAAATTGATAGATTTTAACTTTTTTGCCCTAATTTCAATCAAATGTCAAGTGTCAGGTGTCAAATTCTAACAATATCGGTTTTTTTTTTGAAATTTTGACATGTTGGCTCATAACTTTTTCATTTTCTGACCGATTTTGATGAAATTAGGCTTAAAATGAAGCCAATTAAATTCCCTGCAAACACATTGACAACAAGTCCAATGTAAAATGGCCAAAACAACAATTTTTCAGAAATTTGTATAATTATTGTTGCAACTTACCAGTTTTCAATAAAAATCTAAGGCCCGGCCTGGAATTTTGTGTGTTTTCAATGCAAAACACTTCAATAAACACTTTAAGACACTTTTTAGCTTTAATTTGTCCAAAAAACCTCAATATTATGCAAAAATACCCGGACCGTGGGTCCCCAAAAACATTATAGGCCGCCATGATAGTACCAACTGATTAAAAAAAAAAAACGAAAAAATTTGCAACTTACCAGCTTTCAATCAAAATCTAAGGCCCGGCCTGGAATTTTGTGTATTTTCGACGCAAAACACTTTAAGACACTTTTTTTCTATTAAATTGTTCAAAAAACCCCAAATTAATGCAAAAAACCTGGGACGTGGGCCCCAAACAACATCAAAATCCACCATGACAGTACCAACTGTCAAAAGGAAAATAATTCCAAAGCCTACTTGCGCGATGTTACAGTGTTGTCACATTAATATTTTAATACAACAATAAAAATTGAATAATTAACATTAAATAAACAGGTAAAATTGATAGATTTTAACTTTTTTGCCCTAATTTCAATCAAATGTCAAGTGTCAGGTGGTCAAATTCTAACAATATCGTTTTTTTTTTTTGAAATTTTGACATGTTGGCTCATAACTTTTTCATTTTCTGACCGATTTTGATGAAATTAGGCTTAAAATGAAGCCAATTAAATTCCCTACAAACACATTGGCAACAAGTCCAATGTAAAATGGCCAAAACAACAATTTTTCAGAAATTTGTATAATTATTGTTGCAACTTACCAGTTTTCAATGAAAATCTAAGGCCCGACCTGGAATTTTGTGTATTTTCGACGCAAAACACTTCAGTGAACACTTTAAGACACTTTTTTTTCTATTAAATTGTTCAAAAAACCCCAAATTAATGCAAAAAACCTGGGACGTGGGCCCCAAACAACATCAAAATCCACCATGACAGTACCAACTGTCAAAAGGAAAATAATTCCAAAGCCTACTTGCGCGATGTTACAGTGTTGTCACCTTAATATACTAATAAAACAATGAAAATTGAATAATTAACATTAAATAAACAGGTAAAATTGATAGATTTTAACTTTTTTGCCCTAATTTCAATCAAATGTCAAGTGTCAGGTGTCAAATTCTAACAATATCGGTTTTTTTTTTGAAATTTTGACATGTTGGCTCATAACTTTTTCATTTTCTGACCGATTTTGATGAAATTAGGCTTAAAATGAAGCCAATTAAATTCCCTGCAAACACATTGACAACAAGTCCAATGTAAAATGGCCAAAACAACAATTTTTCAGAAATTTGTATAATTATTGTTGCAACTTACCAGTTTTCAATAAAAATCTAAGGCCCGGCCTGGAATTTTGTGTGTTTTCAATGCAAAACACTTCAATAAACACTTTAAGACACTTTTTAGCTTTTAATTTGTCCAAAAAACCTCAATATTATGCAAAAATACCCGGACCGTGGGTCCCCAAAAACATTATAGGCCGCCATGATAGTACCAACTGATTAAAAAAAAAAAAACGAAAAAATTTGCAACTTACCAGCTTTCAATCAAAATCTAAGGCCCGGCCTGGAATTTTGTGTATTTTCGACGCAAAACACTTTAAGACACTTTTTTTCTATTAAATTGTTCAAAAAACCCCAAATTAATGCAAAAAACCTGGGACGTGGGCCCCAAACAACATCAAAATCCACCATGACAGTACCAACTGTCAAAAGGAAAATAATTCCAAAGCCTACTTGCGCGATGTTACAGTGTTGTCACATTAATATTTTAATACAACAATAAAAATTGAATAATTAACATTAAATAAACAGGTAAAATTAATAGATTTTAACTTTTTTGCCCTAATTTCAATCAAATGTCAAGTGTCAGGTGTCAAATTCTAACAATATCGTTTTTTTTTTTGAAATTTTGACATGTTGGCTCATAACTTTTTCATTTTCTGACCGATTTTGATGAAATTAGGCTTAAAATGAAGCCAATTAAATTCCCCGCAAACACATTGACAACAAGTCCAATGTAAAATGGCCAAAACAACAATTTTTCAGAAATTTGTATAATTATTGTTGCAACTTACCAGTTTTCAATAAAAATCTAAGGCCCGGCCTGGAATTTTGTGTGTTTTCAATGCAAAACACTTCAATAAACACTTTAAGACACTTTTTAGCTTTTAAATTGTCCAAAAAACCTCAATATTATGCAAAAATACCCGGACCGTGGGTCCCCAAAAACATTATAGGCCGCCATGATAGTACCAACTGATTAAAAAAAAAAAAAACGAAAAAATTTGCAACTTACCAGTTTTCAATCAAAATCTAAGGCCCGGCCTGGAATTTTGTGTATTTTCAATGCAAAACACTTCAATAAACACTTTAAGACACTTTTTAGTTTCTAATTTGTCCAAAAACCGCAATATTATGCAAAAATACCCGGACCGTGGATCCCCAAAAACATTATAGGCCGCCATGATAGTACCAACTGATTAAAAAAAAAAAAACGAAAAAATTTGCAACTTACCAGTTTTCAATCAAAATCTAAGGCCCGGCCTGGAATTTTGTGTATTTTCAATGCAAAACACTTCAATAAACACTTTAAGACACTTTTTAGTTTCTAATTTGTCCAAAAACCGCAATATTATGCAAAAATACCCGGACCGTGGATCCCCAAAAACATTATAGGCCGCCATGATAGTACCAACTGATTAAAAAAAAAAAAACGAAAAAATTTGCAACTTACCAGTTTTCAATCAAAATCTAAGGCCCGGCCTGGAATTTTGTGTATTTTCGACGCAAAACACTTCAGTGAACACTTTAAGACACTTTTTTTCTATTAAATTGTTCAAAAAACCCCAAATTAATGCAAAAAACCTGGGACGTGGGCCCCAAACAACATCAAAATCCACCATGACAGTACCAACTGTCAAAAGGAAAATAATTCCAAAGCCTACTTGCGCGATGTTACAGTGTTGTCACATTAATATTTTAATACAACAATAAAAATTGAATAATTAACATTAAATAAACAGGTAAAATTAATAGATTTTAACTTTTTTGCCCTAATTTCAATCAAATGTCAAGTGTCAGGTGTCAAATTCTAACAATATCGGTTTTTTTTTTTTTGACATGTTGGCTCATAACTTATTCAATTTCTGACCGATTTTGATGAAATTAGGCTTAAAATGAAGCCAATTAAATTTCCTACAAACACATTGGCCCCAAGTCCAATGTAAAATGGCCAAAACAACAATTTTTTAGAAATTTGTATAATTATTGTTGCAACTTACCAGTTTTCAATGAAAATCTAAGGCCCGGCCTGGAATTTTGTGTATTTTCAATGCAAAACACTTTAAGACACTTTTAAACATTTAATTTGTCCAAAAAAACCCCAAAATTATGCAAAAATACCCGGACCGTGGGTCCCCAAAAACATTATAGGCCGCCATGATAGTACCAACTGATTAAAAAAAAAAAAAAACGAAAAAATTTGCAACTTACCAGTTTTCAATCAAAATCTAAGGCCCGGCCTGGAATTTTGTGTATTTTCGACGCAAAACACTTCAGTGAACACTTTAAGACACTTTTTTTCTATTAAATTGTTCAAAAAACCCCAAATTAATGCAAAAAACCTGGGACGTGGGCCCCAAACAACATCAAAAGCCGCCATGACAGTACCAACTGCCAAAAAGAAAAAAAAATTCCAAAGCCTACTTTGACAGTGTTTTTTTTTAAAATACGTCATAACAAGGCAATGTTGCCAAAATTGTTAATTATTATTAATTACAATTAATCGTCAATATTTTCCTTCTCGCGCTCCTCCGCTCTGGCCTTCATCCTTGTAATGAACGCGGCCCCTTTATTCTTCCGAAAATTCTCGAAAGGGTCATTCAAATTACAACCGACGCCCTTGAACTGGTCGTGACGATCTCGGACATCGCCGCCCGATATCGGGGCGTCGATCCCTTGCTCTTTGACGCCCAGCCCTTTGCCCCCCCAACCCATTTTCCTCAACATTTCGTGCCCCTTATTGGAACTGTCCAGCTCTTGGGCTTCGCCCCTTGTATATGGGACACTAAAAAAAAAAATTGAGTGACGTCATCATTATTAGTACACTTGATTTACCTTCCAAAACCAGGTGTAGAGGGCGACACTGATCGTTTCGGTGACCTTGAGCGTGACCTTGAATGTCTACGCCTTCTCTCTCTAGTGGGGCGTCTTCGTCTCGCGGGGCTTCGGCTTCTAGATCTGGAGCGCTTGCGCCGAATGTTTGAAATGTTGCGCGATTGCGCAGTGGGCGATGGCGATTTGCTCGAATAACGCCGCTTCACTGGCGCCACCTGTTTTTCCTGTTTCAAAACAATCGGCGAAGGACTGCGCGATTTTTCTCGCAATCCTGCTCTGATCGCTTCTTCTTTTTCTTTGCGCGCGTGGTTTTTCGCCTTGTAGTACTCGTACAGGCCGAGTTTTTCCCAGCCTTCGCTGTCTCTTGGGCGTTCGTGAGTTGGTAAGGAGTAAAACGATTCGACTGCCGCTAGGAGGCGCTCGTTGGGAGGCGCAGGCGGGGGCAGCCTGATGTCTTTCGGATCTAAAGGCTTGTAATCCGAATCTTCCAGCTGTAATTAGGCGATTTCGATTTTATTTGTGTGCACTGAGAGCAACAACTTCTTGCACTTAGTTCACAAAGTGTATACCGAGTGCAATCAGTGCAACTCGAACACGTTCTTACCTTGACAAGGGGCACCATTAGACCAGCAGGTAAATCATAATAAGGAGCAGTGGGGACTAGTTCTTCCAAAAACACCTCGGGAGGAGGTTGAGGCGGCGCAAACCCAGGCGGCGGTTTACTAAAGTCGGGAAATACGCCCCCCGGAATGGGGGGCGGCAATTGGGGCATAAAACCCGGAGGCAGCTCCACTTGCTCTACAATTTTAGGTGGCGGAACATTCAAATTGACCAAAAAATCCTCCTTTACCGAAGTCTGAGTCCCAATTGTTGGAATCTGAAAGGTGTTTTGGCTCAAAGATTGGATTGTTTGGTGCAAGGTTGCTTGGATTGTTTCAAGCGGGATCAGATTCTGAGTAGCTGGAGCAATTACAGGGGGAATTTCCTTGGTTTGTTCAATGTCCTGTTTTTGTTGTTGCAAGTCCATTATTTGTTGCATGGCGTGGCAGACAAAAGCCTGATGTTGGCTCTGATATGTCTCAAATGTCACTTTTGTCTGATCCGCCAAAATGGCGACTTGCTGAGCATACTTGGCCATCTGATCCGATTGATATTGCTGGTAACTTTTAAGTGGATTACGCAACTTGTCCAAAGTATCAGGCTTCAAATAGTTGGCCTTGGATTCCCACAGCTTCAGAAGTTTTTCCAGCTTCAGCTTTTGCTCGTCAGAGGCGCAAACGCTGGCGTTGCAAAACATCGGCACGACAGCGATTTCCAGAGCTTCTTGCAAATCGCAGGCGTTTTTTCGCACGCTGTGGTGCAACAAATCGTTGACCAAATAGATTATGTGCAATTTTTGAGGAAAAGTGCCCGATTGTAGAACCCTAGAACAGTTTTGGTTGCACTCAATTGCACTCAGTGCACACTATTTGACAGTGTGTGCACCAAGTGCAATATATTTGTTAATTTAGTGCAATTAGAGTAGAAAAAGCGTACATCAAACACAAAAAAAAAAACCTAGAACAGTTTTAGTTGCACTCAGTGCAATTAGAGTAGAAAAAGTGTACACCAAACACAAAAAAAAAAAACAATAATTACTTATAGAGCAAACATTGAACAACACAGTTCGACTTTTGCTTGGTATCAGCATGTTGCAAAAACCAAGATTTCCCATTCCCAATACTATCCTTGGTGCAACTATCCAAAATCGGTTGCAAAATGCTATTCAGTTCGCTCAGAACAATCCCGCATTGATCAGCTTCAGTTTGCAAATCAGCTGCGGTGCATTTTGAAACCGCATTTTCAATGGCAGCTTGTTGCTGTTGCATCAGAACAGTGTGCTGAGCGGTTAGGTTCTGTTCGCTCTGCTTGATCTGCTCTCTCAGAACATCTTGTTGCTGCATTATTTGTTCCAGTTCTGAAGTTTGTTGCGGAGTGAAACTCGGAGGCGGAGTGTTCCAGGTTGGAACAGGTTCCGATTGCATTTGTTGTTGTTTGAACACTAAAAATTTTACTCTGGAGTAGCAACAAATATTTAAAAGTGTGTTCCAACTAAATAAATTTACCCGTTTGTTCACTGGACACTTTGTATTGATAATAATTAAAGTGTTCGCCCCCGTACAAAAACTGAAACTTGGGGTTGCCCTTTTGTTTGGTTTTGGTCATTTGCTCAAACTCGGGGCCGTTCCGAGCGACAAATTGGGCCAATTTGTCGATAATGTTTTTCAATTCGATATCTGGAACACATTTTAAGTCGATTTTGGTTAAATGGGGCTTAAATTTACCTTCAGGGGGCTGTGGAATATCCATTTTTCTTGGCAAAGCAAAACAACAACAAACAAAACGGAGTGAGGTTATGTTGACTCTACATGAACTGGAGTTGACTTTTATCGGTTCATTTTATTCCGAGTGCAAATTCAACTTGAATCTAGTGCAATTTTGATTCAAATAACTGTTCCAGGACAATAAAAACGTTGAATATGCTACTCCAATTCGAAAACGAGTGCAAATTAATTGAATATAGTGCAAGTTTATAGAACAACAAAAAAAAAAAAAAAGAAGAGCGCATTTTTTGACACCAAACAAACATCAGTAGCTAACTTCACTTGTGTTTGTAGGGGTGTCAGTGTGTGTGTGCGAGGGTGTTTTTCTCTCGAAAAGCCGCAAATTGGGGCCCCAAATTACTAAAAAAAAAGCCCCTTTGAGACCCCAAAAGACTAAAAATCAAAAAAATGCACCCTCACTAGTGTTTTTAAGTCATTAAAGTCAAGTTTTGAGGCGAAAATGTGCGGTTTCCTGTTGCTAGTGGTGTTTTGGGGTTGTATCAATGGGAGCCCTATTGGTGAGTTGTTTTTTTTCTGGAAAATTCTCCAATAAATTGTCAATTTTCAACAGAAGAATTTCCCCAACAAGTGGATAAAGACTTGAATATGACTATTGAGGTTTTGAGGCACGAAAATCCCCTTAAACTGCCCCTAGGGGAAAACGTTACGATTATTTGCAAGACCAAGTGGATGAGCAGCCACATGTTGTGGACTTTCAATGAAAATAACGTTTCGGAACAAGACGGGTAAGGATTTTTCATTATTAAGGACAAGTTTTTGCCAAACATAACTTTAGATTAATGGGAAACTGGGTATTTAGTGTTGGTACTTTACTTAACCATCAGTTAAGCTACAAATATTGTAAAATTGGGCCTTTAACTATCAATATAGTGATTTCTATTAGAAGGGTTAATATGCACTCAGTGTATTTGCCTCTTTTTCTACTAGCCTGTATAAGAAAGAGATAGCTTTAATTGTGAAAATAGGCCTTTACATGGTAGCATCACAATTAGGGCCAGTTTACATTAAGTGAGACTTTTTAAATTTACCTTAAACTAAAATTTTTATTATCAGTGCAGTGTGAAGGGGGCCTTAAGTAATGTTGTTATTTCCATTTGAAAATAAATATTGTAGCAGCACAATTAAGTAAGGGTCAGTTTACATTAATTAATATATTTTTTTATTTGTCTTAAATTAAAATTCAGTGCAGTGTGAAGGGGGCCTTAATATTGCTATTTGCATTTGAAAATAAACATGGTAGCAACACAATTAAGGGCCAGTTTAATAAAAACAAATTATTTGCCTTAAATCAAAATTCAGTGCAGTGTGAAGGGAGCCTTAATGTTGCTATTTAAATTTGAAAATAAATATTGTAGCAGCACAATTAAGGGTCAGTTTATATTAATTAATAAATTTTTTTTCATTTGTCTTAAATCAAAATTTAGTACAGTGTGAAGGGGGCCTTAATATTGCTATTTACATTTAATTATAAATTTTGTAATAATACAATTAAGGGCCAGTTTACATGAATTAATAAAAAAACTTTTATTTATCTCAAATCAAAATTCAATGCAGTGTGAAGGGGGCCTTAAAATTGCTATTTACATTTAAAAATAAAATTGTAGTAATACAATTAAGGGCCAGTTTACATTAATTAATAAAAAAAAAATATTTATCTCAAATCAAAATTCAATGCAGTGTGAAGGGGGCCTTTTATAGTAATACAATTAGGGGCCATTTTACTTTAATTAGTAAAAAAAATTTATTTATCTTCAATCAAAATTCGATGCAGTGTGAAGGGGGCCTTAATATTGCTATTTACATTTAAAAATAAATTTTGTAGTAATACAATTAAGGGCCAGTTTACATTAATTAATATATTTTTTTTATTTGTCTTAAATCAAAATTCAATGCAATGTGAAGGGGGCCTTAATATTGCTATTTACATTTAAAAATAAATTTAGTAGTTATACAATTAAGGGCCAGTTTTCATTAATTAATATATTTTTTTAAATTTATTTCAAATCAAAATTCAATGCAGTGTGAAGGGGGCCTTAATATTGCTATTTACATTTAAAAATAAATTTTGTAGTAATACAATTAAGGGCCAGTTTACATTAATTAATATATTTTTTTTATTTGTCTTAAATCAAAATTCAATGCAGTGTGAAGGGGGCTTTAATATTGTTATTTACATTAAAAAATAAATTTTGTAGTACTACAATTAAGGGCCAGTTTACATTAATTAATAAAAAACAATTATTTATCTCAAATCAAAATTCAATGCAGTGTGAAGGGGGCCTTAATATTGCTATTTACATTTAAAAATAAATTTTGTAGTAATAGAATTAAGGGCCAGTTTACATTAATTAATATATTTGTTTTATTTGTCTTAAATCAAAATTCAATACAGTGTGAAGGGGGCCTTAATATTGCTATTTACATTTAAAAATAAATTTTGTAGTAATAGAATTAAGGGCCAGTTTACATTAATTAATATATTTTTTTTATTTGTCTTAAATCAAAATTCAATGCAATGTGAAGGGGGCCTTAATATTGCTATTTACATTTAAAAATAAATTTTGTAGTTATACAATTAAGGGCCAATTTACAATAATTAATAATTTTTTTAAATTTATTTCAAATCAAAATTCAATGCAGTGTGAAGGGGGCCTTAATATTGCTATTTACATTTAAAAATAAATTTTGTAGTAATACAATTAAGGGCCAGTTTACATTAATTAATATATTTTTTTTATTTGTCTTAAATCAAAATTCAATGCAGTGTGAAGGGGGCCTTAATATTGCTATTTACATTTAAAAATAATTTTTTTAGTAATACAATTAAGGGCCAGTTTACATTAATTAATATATTTTTTTTATTTGTCTTAAATCAAAATTCAATGCAGTGTGAAGGGGGCCTTAATATTGCTATTTACATTTAAAAATAAATTTTGTAGTAATACAGTTAAGGGCCAGTTTACATTAATTAATAAATAACAATTATTTATCTCAAATCAAAATTCAATGCAGTGTGAAGGGGGCCTTAATATTGCTATTTACATTTAAAAATAAATTTCATAGTAATACAATTAAGGGCCAGTTTATATTAATTAATATATTTTTTTTATTTGTCTTAAATCAAAATTCAATGCAGTGTGAAGGGGGCCTTAATATTGCTATTTACATTTAAAAATAATTTTTTTAGTAATACAATTAAGGGCCAGTTTACATTAATTAATATATTTTTTTTATTTGTCTTAAATCAAAATTCAATGCAGTGTGAAGGGGGCCTTAATATTGCTATTTACATTTAAAAATAAATTTTGTAGTAATGCAATTAAGGGCCAGTTTACATTAATTGATAAAATTTTTTTATTTATCTCAAATCAAAATTCAATGCAGTGTGAAGGGGGCCTTAATATTGCTATTTACATTTAAAAATAAATTTTGTAGTAATACAATTAAGGGCCAGTTTACATTAATTAATATATTTGTTATATTTATCTTAAATCAAAATTCAATACAGTGTGAAGGGGACCTTAATATTGCTATTTACATTCAAAAATAATTTTTTTAGTAATACAATTAAGGGCCAGTTTACATTAATTAATATATTTTTTTTATTTGTCTTAAATCAAAATTCAATGCATTGTGAAGGGGGCCTTAATATTGCTATTTACATTTAAAAATAAATTTTGTAGTAATGCAATTAAGGGCCAGTTTACATTAATTAATAATTTTTTTTTATTTATCTCAAATCAAAATTCAATGTAGTGTGAAGGGGGCCTTAATATTGCTATTTACATTTAAAAATAATTTTTTTAGTAATACAATTAAGGGCCAGTTTACATTAATTAATATATTTTTTTTATTTGTCTTAAATCAAAATTCAATGCAGTGTGAAGGGGGCCTTAATATTGCTATTTACATTTAAAAATAAATTTTGTAGTAATACAGTTAAGGGCCAGTTTACATTAATTGATAAAATTTTTTTATTTATCTCAAATCAAAATTCAATGCAGTGTGAAGGGGGCCTTAATATTGCTATTTACATTTAAAAATAAATTTCATAGTAATACAATTAAGGGCCAGTTTATATTAATTAATATATTTTTTTTATTTGTCTTAAATCAAAATTCAATGCAGTGTGAAGGGGGCCTTAATATTGCTATTTACATTTAAAAATAATTTTTTTAGTAATACAATTAAGGGCCAGTTTACATTAATTAATATATTTTTTTTATTTGTCTTAAATCAAAATTCAATGCAGTGTGAAGGGGGCCTTAATATTGCTATTTACATTTAAAAATAAATTTTGTAGTAATGCAATTAAGGGCCAGTTTACATTAATTGATAAATTTTTTTTATTTATCTCAAATCAAAATTCAATGCAGTGTGAAGGGGGCCTTAATATTGCTATTTACATTTAAAAATAAATTTTGTAGTAATACAATTAAGGGCCAGTTTACATTAATTAATATATTTGTTTTATTTATCTTAAATCAAAATTCAATACAGTGTAAAGGGGGCCTTAATATTGCTATTTACATTTAAAAATAAATTTTGTAGTAATACAGTTAAGGGCCAGTTTACATTAATTAATAAATAACAATTATTTATCTCAAATCAAAATTCAATGCAGTGTGAAGGGGGCCTTAATATTGCTATTTACATTTAAAAATAAATTTCATAGTAATACAATTAAGGGCCAGTTTATATTAATTAATATATTTTTTTTATTTGTCTTAAATCAAAATTCAATGCAGTGTGAAGGGGGCCTTAATATTGCTATTTACATTTAAAAATAATTTTTTTAGTAATACAATTAAGGGCCAGTTTACATTAATTAATATATTTTTTTTATTTGTCTTAAATCAAAATTCAATGCAGTGTGAAGGGGGCCTTAATATTGCTATTTACATTTAAAAATAAATTTTGTAGTAATGCAATTAAGGGCCAGTTTACATTAATTGATAAAATTTTTTTATTTATCTCAAATCAAAATTCAATGCAGTGTGAAGGGGGCCTTAATATTGCTATTTACATTTAAAAATAAATTTTGTAGTAATACAATTAAGGGCCAGTTTACATTAATTAATATATTTGTTTTATTTATCTTAAATCAAAATTCAATACAGTGTGAAGGGGACCTTAATATTGCTATTTACATTCAAAAATAATTTTTTTAGTAATACAATTAAGGGCCAGTTTACATTAATTAATATATTTTTTTTATTTGTCTTAAATCAAAATTCAATGCATTGTGAAGGGGGCCTTAATATTGCTATTTACATTTAAAAATAAATTTTGTAGTAATGCAATTAAGGGCCAGTTTACATTAATTAATAATTTTTTTTTATTTATCTCAAATCAAAATTCAATGCAGTGTGAAGGGGGCCTTAATATTGCTATTTACATTTAAAAATAATTTTTTTAGTAATACAATTAAGGGCCAGTTTACATTAATTAATATATTTTTTTTATTTGTCTTAAATCAAAATTCAATGCAGTGTGAAGGGGGCCTTAATATTGCTATTTACATTTAAAAATAAATTTTGTAGTAATACAGTTAAGGGCCAGTTTACATTAATTAATAAATAACAATTATTTATCTCAAATCAAAATTCAATGCAGTGTGAAGGGGGCCTTAATATTGCTATTTACATTTAAAAATAAATTTCATAGTAATACAATTAAGGGCCAGTTTATATTAATTAATATATTTTTTTTATTTGTCTTAAATCAAAATTCAATGCAGTGTGAAGGGGGCCTTAATATTGCTATTTACATTTAAAAATAATTTTTTTAGTAATACAATTAAGGGCCAGTTTACATTAATTAATATATTTTTTTTATTTGTCTTAAATCAAAATTCAATGCAGTGTGAAGGGGGCCTTAATATTGCTATTTACATTTAAAAATAAATTTTGTAGTAATGCAATTAAGGGCCAGTTTACATTAATTGATAAATTTTTTTTATTTATCTCAAATCAAAATTCAATGCAGTGTGAAGGGGGCCTTAATATTGCTATTTACATTTAAAAATAAATTTTGTAGTAATACAATTAAGGGCCAGTTTACATTAATTAATATATTTGTTTTATTTATCTTAAATCAAAATTCAATACAGTGTAAAGGGGGCCTTAATATTGCTATTTACATTTAAAAATAAATTTTGTAGTAATACAGTTAAGGGCCAGTTTACATTAATTAATAAATAACAATTATTTATCTCAAATCAAAATTCAATGCAGTGTGAAGGGGGCCTTAATATTGCTATTTACATTTAAAAATAAATTTTGTAGTAATACAATTAAGGGCCAGTTTACATTAATTAATAATTTTTTTAAATTTATTTCAAATCAAAATTCAATGCAGTGTGAAGGGGGCCTTAATATTGCTATTTACATTTAAAAATAAATTTTGTAGTAATACAATTAAGGGCCAGTTTACATTAATTAATAAAAAACAATTATTTATCTCAAATCAAAATTTAATGCAGTGTGAAGGGGGCCTTAATATTGCTATTTACATTTAAAAATAAATTTCATAGTAATACAATTAAGGGCCAGTTTACATTAATTAATATATTTTTTGTATTTGTCTTAAATCAAAATTCAATGCAGTGTAAAGGGGGCCTTAATATTGCTATTTACATTTAAAAATAAATTTTGTAGTAATACAGTTAAGGGCCAGTTTACATCAATTAATAAAAAAAAAATATTTGTTTTGAATCAAAATTCAGTGCAGTGTGAAGGGGTCTTTAATGTTGCTATTTATAATTAAATAAATTTTGTAGCAACTCAATATTAGGGCCAGTTTACATTAATTTGTGAAAAATTATAATTTTCTAATGTAAATGCACCCAATGCAGTTCTCATAGTTGGCTCGATTGTCCATAGATGGCGCACCGTATCAAGTCAATAGGATTGACTCAGTTTACATCACTTTATTTTATGAGAATTTAGGAAAAATTAAAATTTTCCAATGTAAACGCACCCAAAACTTGCCAACGCAATTCCCATAGTTTGCCCAATCGCTACTAGATGGCGCTCCCTATCAACCCAATACATTCGACCCGGTTTACACCGCAAATTTTTTTCCCTTCGCAGCTTCAAACTGGAAATGGAAAGCGAAAACATCAACAAGGAATCGGGCAACAAATTCGAAGTGTCAATTTTGCACATTCTAAACCTAAACTTCAATCACGTGGGCAAATATGTTTGTCATGCTGCCAACCTAAATGCTAGTGACTTGGATTTGGCCGACATTGAATTAAACGTCACAAAAAAAGTGACAATTTTGACAATCAGCGACATAATTTATACAGAAATTTATAAAACTGTCAATTTGAAATGTTTGATTGACGGTTATCCAATTGACAGCGTCAATTGGTTCAAGGATTCTAATATGTTGCCCAATGACATGTGGAATATTACAAATGTCAATTTGACAGTTGTTGAGTCAATTTTAAGGATTCAAGCTACAAAAAATGACAACGGCACGTATTTGTGTCAGGCTAAAAACGAGCTGTCAAGTGCCAACGCGTCGACAGCCATTTTGGTTTTGGACAAGCCCCAAGTGACAATTGACGTCATCAAACCAATTGGCACAAATAAAATATTTTTGAATTGGACAGTAAATGACGGCAACAGCCCAAAGGAGCTAAAATATATAATTCAATATAAGTCAGACGAGGATAGCGAATGGACGTATTATAGAAGTGACTTGAATAATACACAAAATAGTTTGATTTTAAATGTTGAAGCGAGACAGAACGATTCGCTTTTTACTGTCCGAGTGATGGCTAAAAATCCTCAAGGCGAAAGCCAATACGTCACCAGCCAGCCAATCAAAATGCTCGACGAAGAGCCAATATTTATCCCAGAAGTCACTGTAACTGGAGTAACCTCGAGCTCGATTACCATAAAATGGAGCAACCCGCCTCAAAAATTCATAGATCACATACATTATTACAACCTAATTCTGAGATCTTACAATTCGACTCAGAAACTAGAAGCAATACAATCGGCCAAAGATTACTTGTATATGTTTTCCGAGCTCAATTCGGCTACTACGTACAATTTCCAGGTGGCGGGTTGTAGCGATTATTCTAAGAAATGCGGCCCCTGGTCGGAAATCGTAAACGGCACCACAATGGATGGAATTTCGGGGCCACCCTCCAACCCCCAAATCAATTGCAAGTTTGACAATTCGAGTTTGACGAATTTTATTTTTTTGAGTTGGCAACACCCGCTGGCACCCCACGGAAAAATCCAATCGTACAATATAAATTTGGAAGGTACGGCAACGTTCAAAAACGACTTGGGAGTCGAGGAAAACGTCACGTGGGGCCCGAAAGTCACTAGCACAAGCGAGAAAACCCTAAACTTTAAGTTTTACAATGTTTCAGCTAATACGAATTATACAGTGAAAATATCGGGAGTTACGCGCTTGCGCAAAAACGGCCAGAACGCCATCTTGAAGTGCCGAACGCCACCCAGTTTGCCCGACAAACAAAAAATCAACCGCATCAAATGGCAGAAAATTTTGGTGCAAAAAAACAAGTGGATGTTCAAAATGTCGCTGCAAAGAATCTCCGAGAGAAACGGTCCTATTTGTTGCTATAGGGTTTATTTAGTGAGGTTAGAAGCGCAACAGAAGTTGTCTGATTTGCCGGCGCCCGAAGATTTGACAGTTGTGACGTATCAGGAGGCGCACAGGACGCCCAAAGGGGGCGCTTACGTTGCGGAGATGTTTAGCAGGTGAGTTTTTGTATAAATGTGTACGTCACTGGTATTATCCGCTATATTTGAAATTATAAGTGTGGCAACGTTGTTTTCGATCAAGTAGGCCTTGTAATGTAATGTCATTTGCCACTTTTGACTGCCGAGTGTTTTTTTTTTCCTTGAATTTTTCGGTTTTTTCAATTAGAAAAACCTATTTAAAATATAAATTTTAGACTAAAATTGTATCCTACTTTATCTCTTTCTTTGTCTTACTACTCTTACTCACTATTAAATTATAAGTCGGCCATTTTGAAATGTCGTGTTTACATTTTTATCCAGGTTTTCCTCGAATTTTCCGCTTTTCCAGGCCGTTTTCAATTGGGAAAACCTATTGAAAATACATTTTGTGCCAAAAATTTCCAGTTTTCTAATGGGGTGAGTGACGAAAACTCAAGTTTTATTAAGTAGACTTTGAATTGTCATTTTTACGGGATTTTCTTTGGATTTTCAGTGCTTTTCCGATTGGGAAAACCGATTTTGAATTAATTGTCAAAAAATTTCAAGGCCTACTCTGACTTTGACGTTTGGTGCAATTTTTATGCCAGGGTTGCTACATTTTTTCGGTGACGTAACACCAAAAAAAATTCTTTTGCAGCTCCAATTTCCAACCGGAAATTTTCCTGGGCGACGACCAAGTTTTCAACGCCTCAAGTAACTTAGATTGCGACCACTGCGCCGGTCTCCGACCCTACAACACGCCTTCTGAGCCGCAAAAGAAAAAGTCTTCTGAGCCTTTGGGCGGCGACAAAACCAACCGAGTACGACGTCACAATTCTGAATTTTCTGAGCTTCTGAGCCCTTTACCGCCATTCGACGGCAACTTAGACATTGACAGCAATTATACGGGGTTTTTAGAAATAGTAATCGAAAACGGCATGACAGCTTATAGTAATTATTTGGAAATGTTGAATCCTGGGCCTTCAGTGATTGCGGCCCCTAGAACCCAGACTTTGAGCCTAATTTTCCAAGTCTTATGCGGTTTAATGGTTGTAATTTTCGTACTATTAGGAGTTTTATGTATTTTGCACCGATATACGAAACAAGCGCACGCGCAAGCGGTGGAAATGATCACTTTCCGCACTTCGCTCAGAAATCTCAGAGGACGTCAAAGACTGGTGAGCCTAAACCCACCCGATATGAGCCCCCTAAAACGTTCTGAGCTAGTTCAAGCCTACATCCAACATCACAGAGACTCAGATTACGGATTTCAGCAAGAATTTGAACTATTGCCCGACCGGTTTTCTGATCGCACAACCCGCGCCTCAGACAACAAAGAAAACCTGTTCAAAAACCGCTACCCTGATATTAAGGCCTACGATCAGACCCGTGTAAAACTGACTCAGAATGACTCAGACTATATCAATGCCAACTTTGTTATGGGCTACAAAGAACGCAAAAAGTTCATTTGCGCTCAAGGCCCTATGGACACAACAGTAAACGACTTTTGGAGAATGATTTGGGAACAAGGACTTCAGATGCTCCTAATGCTTACAAATCTGGAAGAATACAGCAAAACAAAGTGCGCCAAATACTGGCCCGACAAGCAAGACGGAGACAAAGTGTTTGGCAAAATAACTCTGAGCCATCTAAGCGAAACTCGGTATTCAGACTACATTGTGCGCGAGCTCAGAATGGTCAGAAACTCAGAAACTACTTCAGAAGAACGCAGAATTACGCAATATCACTACTTGGTTTGGAAAGACTTCATGGCTCCCGAACATCCTTCGGGAATTATTCGGTTTATTAAACGAGTAAACGAGGCCTACTCAATTGAAAAGGGTTGCATTCTGGTGCATTGCAGCGCCGGCGTTGGCAGGACCGGGACTTTAGTGGCGCTGGACTGTTTGCTGCAACAGCTGGCCGAGGAAAATCAGGTGGCGATTTTCAATACGATTTGCGATTTGAGGCATCAGAGGAACTTTTTGGTGCAGTCACTGGTAAGTTTTGAATTTTTTTCTGAGTAACTGCAGCATTTTTCTATTTATATACCAAATTTCAAGTCATTCGGAGCAATAATAAGCTCAGAAAAAAATAAATTGTGCATCAATGAAGTTTTTTTAAATGACATCGACTCAGATTTTAGCTTGTAGCTCAGTTAATTCTGGTCCTATTTCGATGTAGTTGAGCTAGAATTGAAGCCCATTAAATTCTCTACATTTTTGTATCTTAAAGTTTTTACGTAGCTTCAATGGTTTGGCAGCTGCAAGGCTTCAAAGTTGCATGAATTGGAATGATGATTTTTCAATTGCTCAGAAATGTTTTTGTAGTCGGTTGCTCCAGAATGCTTTTCTCTGAGTCGTTTGCTGGAAAAAAAAAATCTGAGTCATTTCTCTGAAAAATATTTTTCTGAGTCATCTGCTCAGAATGACGTTTTTCAAAATCACGTACTCAGAAAGTTTTTTTTCAAATCAACTACTCAGAAAGATGTTTTTTTGAGTCGACTAATCAAAATGGTAAGTTTTCTGAGTAAATTCAAATTCAATTTTTTTCCCAAGTCAATTGATCAAAATATTTTTTTGTTGACTCAGAAAAATGTTTTTCTGAGTCATCTACTCAGAGTGATGTTTTTGAAAGTTTCCTACTCAAAAAGTTATTATTATGACGCATTTACTCAGAATAATTTTTTTTTCAAATCAACTACTCAGAAAAATATTTTTCTGAGTCGACTACTCAAAATGGTAAGTTTTCTGAGTAAATTCAAATTCAATTTTTTTCTCAAGTCAATTGATCAAAATAATTTTTTTTTGACTCAGAAAAATGTTTTTCTGAGTCATATACTACTACTTATTTACTCAGAATAATGTTTTTTTCCAAATCAACTACTCAGAAAAATGTCAACTACTCAAAATAATGATTTCATAGTCAACTGATCAAAATGATTTTTTTTCTGAGTCACTCACTCAAAAAAATGTTTTTCGGAGTCAACTATTCAGAATAATGGTTTTTCTGAGTCAATTACTCAGAACGGTGTTTTCCTGAATCAGCTACTCAAAACGATGTTTCAACCGAGTCAAAAACTCAAAACGACTTTTTCTGAGTCACATGTTTTTCTGAGCCAATAACTCAGAACCAATTTTTTTTTTTTCAGAAACAATACATTTTCATCTACCGGGCCCTGATGGAAGTGGCTCAGTACGGCGACACCGAAATCTCGTGCGAAGACCTGAAAACCGCCCTGGACCGGTTACGTCACGTTTCTGAGTCAAACAACAAATGCAAATTGGAAGAGGAATTCGAAAACATCGTCAACGCTTTCGAGGATCGGAAATCGTGCGCCGTTGCCAACGCGGAAGAAAACCGCGACAAAAATCGCTCAGAAGCGGTGTTGCCTTTCGACAGAAACCGCGTCATTCTGACCCCGCTGTCAGGCAAAGAACATTCGACCTACATAAATGCTTCATTTATTGAAGGCTATGATAATTCTGAGTCGTTTATTATCGCTCAGGACCCAACCGACAACACTGTAAACGATTTTTGGCGCATGATTTCTGAGCAAGGCATCAGTGTTGTTGTTATGATTTCTGAGCTGGGTGACGGCAAGTGCGCTCGCTATTGGCCCGAAGAGGGTGCCGAGTCGACGTATGATAATGTGCTGGTGCGGTACTTGCAAGCTGAAACTTGTCCGTACTACACGCGCAGGGACTTTTTGCTCAGAGGCAGGGACTCGGAAGAACATAAGGTTACTCATTTGCAGTACCACGGGTGGCCGACTGTTGATGGCGAGGTAAGAATTCTAGAATCTGGCAACATTGTCAATGTCAATTTGATGATTCTTCTTTTTTTTTTTCAATGACAATTAATTCTTCTTTTTTCTTTGTAATTTAAAGAAGAACTTGTAATAATTGTAATTTCTTCTTTTTTTTTTTGGAATGGTTTTTTTGACAGGTCCCGGAAGTGACGCGCGGTTTGATCGAGCTGGTCGACTATTCTCAAACGGCCATTATTCGTACCGGATGTTCGCCCTCTATGGTCGTTCACTGTAACTTGGGTTCCGATCGCAGTTCGATGTTCGTCGGTCTGAGTATTTTGGTGCAGCAGCTCAGAACGGAGCGGCGCGTCGACGTTTTTACGGTGGCGCGCAAACTCAGATCGCAGCGGCAAGGGCTGATCAGTTCTTATGTGAGTGTTGATAGTTTTTCTGAGTCAATTGCTCAGAATGATTTTTTCTGAGTTACTGACTCGGAATGATGTTTTTTCGAGTTCATATTTTGTTTTTCTGAGTCGATTGCTCAGAAAGATGTCTGACTCAGAACGATATTTATAATTTTTTTTCTGAGACAAAATTTTTCTGAGCCACTGACTCAAAACCATGTTTTTCCGAGTTCTCAACTTGGAAGCGTATTTTTTTTCTGAGTCTAAATTTTTCTGAGTCAATTTTTTTTTTTTTTACATTTTTCAGGCTCAGTACGAGTTTCTGCACAGGGCCATAGTCAACTACGCCGAGTTACACGGCTTGTAATTTTTCTGAGTACGTATAAGTGTTTTGCTCAAATTTTTTTTAATAATAAAAAAAAAAAAACCCCTCCCACATCCCATAATTTTAGCTACTTTTTTTACTCCCCAAAAGAGGGCGCTGTATTTATAATTAATCGTATTTTGATGTTGTACTGATTGTGACAGATGTCAAAAAGTGACATTAGGTAGGTTAGGATTTTAGGCTTTGCACGTTTTTTTTTTTTTCTTTATCTTTTATAAAGATAAACATATTTTTACACCAAAAAATTATTTATTTATTTTTTTGTATATTTTTTTCTGAGGCAGCTCTAATGATTATGACGTCATTTGTATATATAATAATTGATAATTAATAAGACTGTGTAATTTGTATTGTATTAATTTATATATATATATATATATATAACGCTTTTTTTTTTAGGTTATTTCCGATAATAAAATACAAAATAATGCGTATAATTAATTTCTGAGCCGTTCTGATCCCCTTATCACAATCCTTTACGGTGAATATTAACAATTGCCCAGTTTTATTTACGCAGTGAATGTTAACAAACGCTTCGGGAAATCAAATTTTCACGGTGAATATTGACAAATGCCACATTTATTGATAAAATATTCACGGTGAATATTGACAAATGACTCATCTGATATTAAAATTGTCCTGGTGAATATTAACAAACGCCTCAAATACCAAATTTTCACGGTGAATATTGACAAATGCCTCATTTGATAATAAAATTGTCCTGGTGAATATTAACAAACGCCTCGTGACTGTTTCCAACTTAAATCAATTAAATCGGGATTTGGGGCCTTAAAACAATTAAAAATGGCCTCTAATTATTGTTTATAATTAAATTTATAAATAATTTTGCATCAAAAATCATTTTCGAGTTGGCAACATTGCGTGACAGTTTTGACATTGTTGACGTTGAAATTGCAAATGGCAGCCGCCCAAGATTTTATTTATTATTGTATTTTATTTATAATAATAAAGAATTGTTGAATTAAATTATGAACAAAATGGAAAAACTGCCGAAATTAGTGGACGTCCATCAGCCGTCGAATAAGCTGGAATCCAGGCAACTGCCCCTCGTGGTAGACGAAAATTTAACGGTAAATAATGAATTTCTGAGCCAAATTCTGAGTGAAATTTTGATTGTTTTGCAGCTGGTTATGGACATAAAGAACTCGAACATCATTTGCGACGCTCAGAATCTGAGCCACAAGGAACTCAACGAGTTTGCGGCAAAATTTTCCATGCTGAGCCCCGAGCAGTTCGAGGCTGCTCTGCAAATAAGCAGGCCTGAACTACTCGAGGTGCTCAATCAAAATGTACCCTGCGTTGGGTGCCGGAGAAGGTAAGAAATTTCAGCTGTGATTTTGGGCTCTAATTTTTCCAATTCTAGTGTGGAAAGGCTCTATTTCCACTTGTTGGATTTCGGCCACCCGACGCTGGACCCCATTGTGGTGAAAAGTGACGGTACCATAACCTTAAAAAAAGAGAAACGGAGCTACAATGTTTTGGCCAACATTTTTCACGGTCACGCGTAAGTTTTTCCCTTTAAATTTTACCATCAATTTGTAGGGAATTCAATTGGCTTCATTTTGAACCTAAATTCGTTGAAATCGGCCGAAAAATGACCGAGTTACGATCAAAAATGTAAAAGGGAGTTTTTCAAAGAAAAATAGAATTCTATTTACAAATATGAAAGGGCCTAAATAGTAAACAAAAAGAATTCTATTTTCACTAAAAATAGAAATGTCATAAGTCCAAATCAAATGAAAGCGCCTAAATAGTAAAAATAGAATTCTATTTACAAAAAAAACTAAATGAAAGGGCCTAAATAGTAAATAAATAGAATTCTATTTTCACTAAAAATAGAAATGTCATAAGTCCAAATCAAATGAAAGCGCCTAAATAGAATACTATTTACAAAAAAAAAAAAAAGAAGAATAAATAGGGTCCTAACTAATATGAAAGCGCCTAAATAGTAAATAAATAGAATTCTATTTTCACTAAAAATAGAAATGTCATAAATCCAAATCAAATGAAAGCGCCTAAATAGTAAAAATAGAATTCTATTTACAAAAAAAAACTAAATGAAAGGGCCTAAATAGTAAATAAATAGAATTCTATTTTCACTAAAAATAGAAATGTCATAAGTCCAAATCAAATGAAAGCGCCTAAATAGAATACTATTTACAAAAAAAAAAAAAAGAAGAATAAATAGGGTCCTAACTAATATGAAAGCGCCTAAATAGTAAATAAATAGAATTCTATTTTCACTACTAAAAAAAAAAAAAGAGTAAAAACGTCAAAAGTCGTTATGTCAATTAATAGGCGCTGTTGCCAGTTTTTTTTTTTTTAAATTTTTGTATTTATTACCGGTTCTTGAGGTTTTGTAGCAACAAGTTTAATTGAGAGTGTTTTGCAATTTGTTGCTATTACCGGCTTTTGAATTCGTGATTTTCAAGTTGTAGCAAACCTCAATTTTGTAAACGTTGTTCGGACATGTTTGTGTAGCAACACGGATTTTGCAATTTGTTGCCATCACCGGCTGTTGAAGACGGAATTTGAAAATTGTAGCAACACGAATATTTCTGTAGCAACAAGGGTAACTTTGACATTTCGATATAGCAACACGTGTTTTGCATTTTGTTACTATTACCGGCCTTTGACGATGCGATTTTTAGGTTGTAGCAACACGAATTTTTCTGTAGCAACAGTAAATTTTTTGTAGCAATATCCAAATTTGACAAAATTAGTATATTTTGATGTATATGACATTATAAATGTGTAGCAGCAACACGAAATTTTTTGTAGCAACAGTATTTTTTTTTGTAGCTACATCCAAATTTGACAGTAGAATTAGTATATTTCGATGTATGTGAAATTATGAATGTGTAGCAGCACAAAATTTTTATAGCAACACCCAAATATGAGCGTTTCCGAAGGGCTTGGTCTGTAGCAACACTTAAATTCTGGCGATTTCGAACTTTTCGGCCTGTGGTAACATGAAGTATCTTGTAGCAACACCCAAATATGGGCGATTCCGGGGGTTTTGGTCTGTGGCAACACTCAAATTCGGGCGTTTTCGAACTTTTTCGCCTGTAGCAACACAGAATTTTGTGTAGCAACACCCAAATATTGGCGTTTTTGGTGTGTGGCAACACCCATTTTTGGTTCTAACAACAAGAAATTATCTGTAGAAACACGTTTTTTTACAGCAACACGTGAATTTTGACAGCAGAATTAGTAAATTTTTATTTAAATGTCAGTTAGAAATTGTAGCAACACGAAAGTTTCTGTAGCAACACTACACTTTTAGTAGCAACCTTTAAATTTGACAGTAGAATACTATATTTTGATGTAAATAACATTTTGAAGTTGTAGCAACACGAAAATTTTTGTAGCGTACACCAAATTTTTTGTAGCATCACCCGAATTTAACAGCAAAATAAGTTTATATTGATTTCTGAAATCGTAGCAACACAATTTTTTTGTAGCAACACTGAATTTTTTGTAGCAACACTTGAATTCGACAGCAGAATTAGTTTCGTTTGACGCAAGTGACATTTTAGAGTTGTAGCAACACGAACATTTTTGTAGCAACTCTCCAAATTTGGGATTTGGCGTGTAGCAACACATTTTAGCCATCGAATACGACATTTTCTGGTTGTAGAAAGAAGATTTTTTTTGTAGCAACACGCAAATATGAGCGATTTTGAGGGTTTTTGTCTGTAGCAACACAAAATTTTTGTAGCAACACCAAAATTTGGCAGTTTAGGTTATCAAATACGACATTTTTAGGTTGTTTTAATAGGATTTTTTTTGTAGCAACATCTAAATAATAGCGATTTTGAGGTTTTCTGTCTGTAGCAACATCCAAATTTGATAGCAGAATTGGTATATTTTGATGTAGGTGACATTTTGAATGTGCAGCAACACGAAAATTTTTGTAGCAACACCCAAATTTGACAGCAGAACTAATATATTTTGATATAGGTGATATTTCTAGGTTGAAACAACAATTTTTTTGTAGCAACACCCAAATATGGGTGTTTCCGGGGGGGTTTGGTCTGTAGCAACACTTAAATTCGGGCGATTTCGAACTTTTCGGCCTGTAGCAACATGAAATATTTTGTAGCAACACCCAAATACGGGCGATTTCAGGAGGTTTTGGTCTGTAGCAACACGAATTTTTAATAGCAACATCCAAATATGGGCGATTCCGGGGGGTTTGGTCTGTAGCAACACGAAATTTTTTATAGCAATCTTTAAATTTGACAGCAGAATAACTATATTCTGATATTGCTGAAGTCGTAGCAACGCAATTTTTTTGTAGCAACACTGAATTTTTTGTAGCAACACTTGAATTCGACAGCAGAATTAGTTTCGTTTGACGCAAGTGACATTTTAGAGTTGTAGCAACACGAACATTTTTGTAGCAACACTCGAAATTTTGGATTTGGCGTGTAGCAACACATTACAGCTATCGAATACGACATTTTCAGGTTGTAGTAAGAAGAATTTTTTTGTAGCAACATTCAAATATGGGCGATTTCGGGGTTTTTGGTCTGTCCCAACACGAAATTTTTGTAGCAACATCCAAATTTGAAAAATCAATTCTTATATTTTGATGTAAATGAAATTTTCAGGTTGTAGCAACACGATCATTTTTGTAGCAACACCCGATTTTGGGGGTTTTGGTCTGTAGCAACACTCTAATTCGGACGATTTTGAACTTTTTGGCCTGTAGGAACACGGAATTTTTTGTAGCAACACCCAAATATAGGCTATTTCGGGGTTTTTGATTTGTGGCAACATTAAATTTTTGTAGCAACGTCTAAATTTGACAGTGGAATTCGTAGATTTTGATGTAAATGAGATTTTCAGGTTAAAACAACACGAATATTTTTATAGCAACACCCGATTTTAGGGGTTTTGGTCTGTAGCAACATTCAAATTCGAGTGATTTCGAACTTTTTGGCCTATAGTAACACTGAATTTTTTGTAGCAACACCCAAATATAGACTATTTCGGGGTTTTGATTTGTAGCAACATTAAATTTTGGTAGTTGAATTCCTAGATTTTGATGTAAATGAGATTTTCAGGTTGTAGCAACACGAACATTTTTGTAACATCATCCAAATTTAACAGCAGAATTAGTATATTTTGACGTAGGTGACATTTTGAATGTGTAGCAACACGAAAATTTCTGTAGCAACAGTATTTTTTTTTTGTAGCAACACCCAAATTTGACAGTAGAACCAGTATATTTTGATCTAGGTGACATTTATTGGTTGTAGCAACAAGAAATTTTTGTAGCAACGTCCAAATTTGACAGTTTAATTCCTATATTTTGATGTAAATGAGATTTTCAGGTTGTAGCAACACGAACATTTTTGTAACACCATCCAAATTTAACAGTAGAATTAGTATATTTTGATCTAGGTGACATTTATAGGTTGTAGCAACACCAAAATATGGGCGATTTCGAGGTTTTTGGTACATAGCAACACCAAATTTTCATAACAACACTTAAACACGGGCTATTTCGGGGGTTTTGGTCCGTAGCAACACCCAAATTTGAGCGATTTCGAACTTTTCGGCCGGTAGCAACACGAAATTTCTTGTAGCAACACTCAAATATGGGCGATTCCGAGGTTTTTGGTCGGTAGCAACATGGAATCTTTTGCAGCAACACCCAAATATGGGCGATTTTAGGGGGTTTAGTCTGTAGCAACACCTAAATTCGGGCGTTTTCGAACTTTTTGGCCTGTAGCAACACAGAATTTTGTGTAGATGGGCGATTTCGGGGTTTTTGGTATGTAGCAACACGGAATTTCTTGTAGCAACACCCAAATTCGGCTTGTAGCAACACGATTTTTTCGCTTGCAGTCAACGTTTGGAGACCCTAGTCGACACCCAACCGAAACGCAACAAAAAAAGCGTCCGCTGTCTGCTGCACTCTTTGGATTCGCAGCGGAATCGTCCGATCACGCCCGTGTGGCGCGACATCTGGGACTGCATGAAAATCGATTGTAGAAAAGACGTTTGCGTAATTGAAGCTTCAAGTTTACACGCAACTTTGGAAAATTATCTCAGAAAACATCGATTTTGCGGCGAGTGCCGCACCAAAGTCTTGAAAGGTAAACATTGTGGCTCAGAATTATTTTTTCTGAGCCGCTCATTGATTGGTTTTTGTAGCTTACACCATATTGGTCGAAGAGGAGGAGCCTATTAAGGAAAAAGGTTACGTTTCGTCCCTTTACTCTGGTATTAAACGTTGCCTGGTCGATAAACACATTCACCTAAATCCCAAAACCGAATACATAACCAAACTTATTGTCAGAGCAGAACCGGAACTATTAGGCAGGTGAGTTGACACCGTTTGTGACGTCATTTGACAATTGACAGTATTGACATTTAAGAGAACGTCACGCCAAAACATTGGAAATAGCCCAAGAAGAAGTCTTAACGTGTCTGGGCATTTGCATGTACGAACGGTTGCACCGCGTCTACATGCGCGTGCGCGAAGAAGAGCGCACCTGTCAATTGTTCGCCGCTGTTGCCGTTCACTCGCTGAGTCGCAGCTTCGAAACCCAAGTGGAAAAAGTCAGGGGCGTATCGCAACTTGAGTTATTTTACGAGGAATTCGCCAGGGCCGAACAGGCCAAGCAGAAACACAAGGAAGCGAAAAAGATACGGCGCAAGCGCCGCAAAGGCAAATCGAGCCCCGACGATTGCGATCATATGGAGAAGGTAAGTCAAAAATGTCACTGAAACTTTATAATTGTTTGACATTTGAGTCAAATTTTTTTTTTTTTTTTTTGAGGAATGTTCTTGTTCGCCCGCCCCTGAACCGTGCAATTGCAGCAGCGAAGAAATGGACGACTACGACGATCTGCCCGAACCGTCCGCTGTTGCCAAATCGCGCTGCAGCAACAGCGACGTTTGGCCTGCGGACGATAGGTGCGACAACGACAAGTAAGTTTATTGTTGACAGCACTGTCAGACATAAGGTGTTGATAATTTTGACAATTATTGTAGCAACAAAACAGGTTCGGACTGCGGCTATTCTTCGGAACACAATAATAATTGTTGCGAAACCAGTTCAGTGGCGTCCAGCTTGGAAGAATTAGACTCTGACGTTTGCTGTCAACAGCAGCAGGCTTTGGATTTTGGCAGCCGGTGTAGGTTGACATGTGGCGGCGGTCTGACGTTACAAGAAATGTTAGAGGTATGTCAATCAAATTAATTTTTATTTATTTTAAAAATTAAATCAAAAATAAAGGTAAATCGTGAGGAGGACGTGGAGTGTTTCATCACGGCTGAGGAGGTGCGCGAGTTCAAAAGCAGGAGCCGGCAGGTGTACGAGAAAAGACGCGAGCTGCGCGAAACGTTGCAAAAACGTTTTGCGCAGTTTTGTCACCAGGGCCCTCTGTTGGCCTTTACCGGCAACAACCGCATCGGCCTCGAACTGATTTAATTGTTTTTTTTTTTTTTTCTAGTTTTTAAGGCGCAGAATTTTCGAAGTTTTTGATTTTTTTTTTTGAGAGGTTGAAGGTCTTGGGACACGCCACTGAACTGTCAAAAAAAAAAATGTCTAGGTGTTTTGGAAAAAATACAAAAATGATGACGTTTTTAATAAGGCCTTGTTGACAGATGATACACAGATACGCCACTGAACTGTCAAAAAAAATTTCATTGGATTTCTAGGTGTTTTAGAAAAAAATGCAACCCTGTTTTTTTGAAATGATGACGTTTTTAATTGGGCCTTGTTGACAGGCGGGTGGTACACAAAATGTCAAAAATTGAGTTTTTGTTTTTTTTTTTTGTGAATTTTCATGGCCACCTTTAATTGAAATATATTTTTTTTTTTTATTAGGGCGTAATTGATTATTGAAATTTTTTTACGGTGAATGTTAACAAACGCCTTGTTTTTGCAGTTTTCAAATTGGCAACACTGTAATATTTGCTCTGGCTACACAATGGGGTTATTTTTCATTGGAAAAATTTGAAATTTTAGTATGGTACGCCCCTGACTTTCTTCTTTTTTTCCGAATGAGGCATTTGTCAACATTGACTGTATTAAATAAGGCGTTTGTTAATATTCACCGTTATTCTATCAAATGAGGCATTTGTCAACATTCACCGTGCATATTTTATTAATAAATGAGGCGTAGAACAATTTTATTCATTAATTATTTAAAAAATTATTTTTTAATTAAAATCATCAGTAATTATGACGTAATTAATGAATTAAATTTTCACCGTGAACATTAACAAACGCCTTGTTTTTACAGGTTTTTAAATTGGCAACACTGTAATATTTGCACTTTATTGAAATAATTCAATTTTTAAAAAATTCAAACGTCAACATTTCTAGTTAGAACCGAATTTTTGCAACCACTTTCACGATTTATGATCACAAACGCTTTTGCCAGCAACTAGTGACGTCATATTGAATTTAGTATGGACGCAGCGTTAATGACGTCACAAAACGAATTAATAATGAATTAGCGTCAATTGTCACTAATTTCCGTTTAAATTGCTGACACAAACGTCAAAAAAAAAAAAAAAAATTGACATTGTTGTAATTGTTGACAGTTCAAATTCAAAATGGCGTCGGTTTGTTTTGTTGTTTGGGTGGGGGGTGGTTCCATTTTTCCAGGGCCCCGAGACCTTCAGCCAATCAAAAGTGAGTATTTTGTTTAAATTAAAAGAAAAAATTGTTAATAATAATAAAAAAAAAAAATGCATTCCACCATTTTAAATTTTATTATTTTTTTTTTCCCTTTAAATATAAATAATTTAAATATCGAACAATTCGCAAGCGCCCTCGGTGTCTGAGAGGTTGTACAGGTAGTCTTGAGTCCTAGGGGGGCCTAGTTTGACGAAAGGCTCCCACAAACCGGGGCCTTTGTCCCTAGGCCTTTTCCTAAACAAAATTTCGGCCGTTTCAAAGTCCGGGTCTTCGTAGTGGGGCTTGTTTTGAGCCGAAGGCCTTTTCCTAGGGGTGGGGCCTTTGTGTTCTGGTGACAGTAAATGGACCTTAATGGGATTTTGACTTTTCAAGTGCAATGTTGATTCCTGCAAGAATTAATTAAATTAATTGATTTAATTAAATAATTAAATAATTACATTAAAATTAATATTAATTGGAGTATTTATTATGCAAACATTTTCATTTGGATAACAGATATTGAAATCTTCATTGGTTAAATACAAGAGCCTTTTTGTATTGAAATCCTCAAGGATATTTTTGATGCTTTGCTCAATCCAAATCTTATGTAAATCCAATTCGTGCTCATATTCGTCCAATTTGTTCAAGTCTTGCTTCAATTTACAAATCTTGCTCGAATACTCTGACGTCAATGTGTCAGATCTTTTAGGGCTGGAATAGGGCTTCCACTGAATACTGTTTTTGCTCTTTTTCTCTATTAAACCGATTCCTTCTAGCACATTTGTGATGTCATAGATGCGTCTTTTTTGTCTCACTTCCAAAATGTCAGCCGCCACTTTCAGGTCTAGAATGCCCCCCTTGGATTTTTGCAGTAGATTTACAAATTTCGATGTTAGGAGGCCTAGGGATTTTTCAAAACGGGGCTGCACATTGTTTTCGCCCATGATGTTATTGTTTTTGTTGTTTGCTGTCAAATGTCAGTTTAATAATGTGAAGTTTGCCTTTCTCTGTCAATGTTTGATTTGGTGCAAAGGTTCAATCATAGATGGCTCTAGTGGAAACACATTTAAATTAAAAGTTTCTACTCTAGTTTTTAGGCGTTCTGGTGACTTCTTAAAATGTGGTATAAAAGTTCCTACAGCGTCTTGCACAAAATGGTGGCGGCAAAGAAATGTCAATTTAGAAAAAGTCGCAAATAACTAAATTCGATCAATTGTGTAGAATTCTATAACTCAAGTAGGCTTTGGATTTCTGTCTTCTCTTTTCAGAAAACGCTGATAATTTAAGTAAGCTTTGGATTTTCCTTTTTTTTAATTGAAAATTTAGCACCGTCGCATATAACTCCGGCCCTTCGGGCTAGACTCTCATATAACTCTGGCCCTTTGGGCCGGACCGGACTCTCATATAACTCCGGCCCTTCGGGCCGGACTCTCATATAACTCCGGCCCTTCGGGCCGGACTCTCATATAACTCCGGCCCTTCGGGCCGGACTCTCATATAACTCCGGCCCTTCGGGCCGGACTCTCATATAACTCCGGCCCTTCGGGCCGGACTCTCATATAACTCCGGCCCTTCGGGCCGGACTCTCATATAACTCCGGCTCTTCGAGCCGGACTCTCATATAACTCCGGCCCTTCGGGCCGGACTCTCATATAACTCCGGCCCTTCGGGCCGGACAAATCAGAGCTGTTTTTTCGCAGTGAAACTGGTTTGACCCGGTTCAATTAGGTTCGAACCTGTACATTCTTGCGTTGAACCAGTGACGTCACATTGAACCTGGTTCAAAAAAGTTCGAACCGGACTCATGGTTTGTTCTTCGTTGACATAAGACTGTGGTTCAAACCTTCCATTTTCTCGCGTTCACAAATTATGACGTCATCTACAAATTGGTTCAAATCGTAGTTCGAACCATTCGCCCCGCGAGAAAACGCCTCAAGAATTACAAGCGCAAAATGAAGTGTTCATTATTGTCACCTGTAGTGACGTCACTACAGAGTCAGTGCAAGTTATTTTATCGTTAGAGTAAATAAATTGAATGATTTAGAGTAGTTAGAACAAACTTAGTGTAGATAGAACAGAATTAGAACACATTCAAATCAAAATAATTCGAATAAAATCAATACAAGAAACGTACTAATAATGACGTCACGGAATCAGACGCAAAATGTGATTATTTTAGGCATTTGGTCATTAAAGATACAAAAAACGTATTAATGATGATGTCAGTAAGATTTTCAAAAATCAACTTATTACAAGACTGTACTAATAATGACGTCACCAAATCAGATTCAAAATATGATCATTCCTAGCATTTGGCTATCAAAAATACAAAAAACGAACTAATGATGACGTCACTAAGACTTTTAGAAATCAACTTACTTTAAGACTGTACTGATAATGTCATCACAAAATAAGTTTTTTAGTAATCAAGAATGCAAAAAAACGTACTGATGATGACGTCATTGAGATTTTCACAAATCAGCCTACCATAGATTTGCAATAGTGAAGTGAAGTTATAATCATTCTATATTCGAGTTTCTAATGTGAGTACTGATGATGACGTCATCATCAGATGCAAAATCTGTTTATTCCAGGCATTTGACCATCAATGATACAAAAAACTTACTAATGATGACGTCACTAAGATTTTTAGAAATTAGCCTACTATAAGGCTTGAAATAGGAAAGTGAGGCTGTGGCCGTTGTACACACCACCACAGCTTCACTTTACCTCATAAGCCTTTCAGAAACTTATATTTGAGTTTTCAATGTAAGTACTGATGATGACGTCACGAAATAAGTTTTTTGCAATCAAGAATACAAGAAATGTATTGATGATGACGTCACGAAATTACCTAGAACAGTATAATTCGCAATTCAAATTGAATTAGTGCAAACAGAACATAATTAAAACAATCAGAACACTCGAGAGTAACTTGAATAGAGTTAGTGCAAATAAAACAGAATTTAAACAGAATCAGTACAAAAGGGACATTAATATTATTACAAACATATGGCCATCAAGGATACAAATTACGTATCAATAATGACGTCATTAAAATTATTTAATTGATTAATTATTTTACAAATACTTGGCTATCAAGGATACAAAAATACTGATGGTGACTTCATTAAATTTATTTAATTGTTTGATTATTCCAGGCATTTGGACACTTATGATACAAGATACGTACTGATAATGACGTCACTGAGATTTAAAAAAAAAAAATATATTTGAGTTTTCAATATAAGTACCGATTGTGACGTCACGAAATAAGTTTTTTGGCAATCAAGAATCAGTTTACTACAAAAGTGAGGCTGTGGCGATTCAATTAATATAGCCTTCACGAAATAGAGTCAGAATTGTTAAGAGCAACAAAATTAACACTCAGTGCAACTTACCTTGTCAACAGCAGCTAGTAGAACGTTGCGACAGGCCAAATCCCGGTGCAAAAACCGTTTCTGCTCCAAATAAGCCATTCCGGTTACCAGCTGAGTGGCGTACTGGCACAAAAGTTGCACCGGAGTATGTTGACATTGTTTTCGGCAAAAAGTCCAATAATGACCCTAATGGAGCCAGCATTGCCTGGACTTCTTGGATGAAATCTTCAAAAACTCCGGGTTGATTGAGGGCATTAGCTTTGAAGACTTTGACAGCCACTGGAATTGATTTGCCAGTTGGACTTGCCCATTCTCCTATTATAAAGGAAACTGTAAATGTGTCAAATGTCAAACAAAAAAAAATTAGGTTTACCTCGTTTGACAACGCCAAAACTGTCATTCCATTGTATAATTTCAATCAAGATTTAAGAGCCAGTGACAATCAAAATTTGGCCTATCACAGGCTCTTGATGGTGACGTCAGTGAGCACATTTGTTTCTATTCTAGATAATTTTAACAGTTACTAGAATCTATTGACATTTTTCATCTACAAGGGCCAAAAAATAAAAAAGCAGGCGTCTCTTTTAAGTCTGACAGTGACGTCATTTATAGATAAATAATTGTCATACTTGAATTAGGCAACTTTTGACAACTGTCAAAGTTCAATTTGATGTAGGATTTTTACACATAAAGCCTATGTAAAACAAATCCCAAATCACCAATTATGACGTAAACAGCATGATATTTCTCGCTTTAACGTAGCCCGTTTAAACAATTGATGACGTTGAAAATGGTGACGCGCCAATATGACAGCAGTTATCAAAAACGAGGCCAATAAACAATTCTGTAAGTGTGTATTATCCTTAGGTAATTTGATATTATTCAATTGGTAATATGAGTTGGTGCAAAGGTTCAATCATAGATGGCTCTAGTGGAAATTAACTCTCCACGTCCCACTTCTTATATTGGAAATTCCATAATTTTCCTTCTACTAGTTTCTTAGTAAAATGCCATTTGCCTAAATCCTAGCTCTAGACAAATTATATTTATTCACTCTGGCAACACTGCTTAAAGTCATTAATGACAAGTGACATTTCCACAATATTTATTGTTTGTTTATTTTGTTTCTTGTTTATATATTTTGCTTGTTGCAACAAAATCCGAAATTAAAATTGTTTATAAAAAAAAAACATGGCGGTTGAGGGCATAGAGTGGCTAAAAGAAATCCTCAACGACGTCCAATTGGCCCAATTCCTTGTCCCTCTAAGGGACGATTTACAAGTGACCCGCTTGGAACATTTCGATTTTGTCAAAACAGAAGACTTAGAAAATATTGGCCTCAGCAAACCCGGTAAGAAAAATCTTAGAATTCTATGAAAAGACCCTCTTAAATTATACTTTTAGGTGCCCGAAGGTTGCTCGAAGCTGTCAAAAAAAAACGAGCCCAACAGAAAAAACGCAACCTAATCAGCCGCCTAATTCCAGTGTCAGCAAAATCCCAACAAAAAAGACCCGAAGAAGGTGAAATTTTGACCTCTTGCCTAATCCAAGAAACCCAAATCATGTTGGGCGTCAAATTGGGCGACGGCAGTTTTGGCGTTGTCAAACGAGGTAACCCCAATTTTCGTTTGACATTTGACATATTTACAGTTTCCTTTATAATAGGAGAATGGGCAAGTCCAACTGGCAAATCAATTCCAGTGGCTGTCAAAGTCTTGAAAGCTGATGCCCTCAATCAACCTGGAGTTTTTGAAGATTTCATCAAAGAAGTCCAGGCAATGCACTGTCTTTGTCACCCCAATTTGATTAGGCTATATGGTGTTGTATTGTCTCAGCCAATGATGATGGTAACAGAACTGGCCCCATTAGGGTCACTATTAGACTTTTTGCGAAAACAGTGTCAACATACTCCGGTGCAACTTTTGTGCCAGTACGCCACCCAGCTGGCAACCGGAATGGCCTATTTGGAGCAGAAACGGTTTTTGCACCGGGATTTGGCCTGTCGCAACGTTCTACTAGCTGCTGTTGACAAGGTAAGTTGCACTGAGTGTTAATTTTGTTGCTCTAACTGTTCTGACTCTATTTCGTGAAGGCTGTATTAATTGAATGGCCACAGCCTTACTTTTGTAGTAAGTTGATTTCTAAAAATCTTAGTGACGTCATCATCAGTACAATTCGTGTATTCTTGATTGCCAAAAAACTTATTTCGTGACGTCACAATCGGTACTTATATTGAAAACTCAAATATAAGTTGTTTTTTTTTAAATCTCAGTGACGTCATTATCAGTACGTCTCTTGTATCATAAGTGGCCAAATGCCTGGAATAATCAATCAATCAAATAAATTTAATGACGTCAACATCAGTATTTTTGTATCCTTGATAGCCAAATATTTGCAAAAATTAATCAATTAAATAATTTTAATGACGTCATTATCGATACGTAATTTGTATCCTTGATGGCCATATGTTTGTAATAATATTAATGTCCCTTTTGTACTGATTCTGTTTAAATTCTGTTTTATTTGCACTAACTCTATTCAAGTTACTCTCGAGTGTTCCGATTGTTTTAATTATGTTCCGTTTGCACTAATTCAATTTGAATTGCGAATTATACTGTTCTAGGTAATTTCGTGACGTCATCATCAGTACCTTTCTTGTATTCTTGATTGCAAAAAACTTATTTCGTGACGTCATCATCGGTACTTACATTGAAAACTCAAATATAAGTTTTTGAAAGGCTTGTAAGGTAAAGTGAAGCTGTGGTGGTGTTAATACAACGGCCACAACCTCACTTCCCTATTTCAAGCCTTATAGTAGGCTGATTTCTAAAAATCTTAGTGACGTCATCATTAGTACGTTTTTTGTATCTTTAACAACCAAATGCCTAGAATAATCACATTTTGCATCTGATTCCGTGACGTCATCATTAATACGTTTCTTGTATTGATTTTGTTCGAATTATTCTGATCTGAATTTGTTGTTTATGTTCTAATTCTGTTCCAGTTGCACTAATTCTATTTGATTTTCGTATTACTCTAACTGTTCCAATTATTATAATTCTGTTCTATCTGCACTAACTCTGTTCTAACTACTCTAAATCATTTAATTTATTTACTCTAACGATAAATCAATTTGCACTGACTCTGTTCGAATTATTCTAATATAATTTTAGACTCTACTCGAACTGTTCTAATTTGAATTTGCCATTTTCCTCTAATTCTGTTCCAATTGCACTAATTCAATTTGAATTGCGAATTATACTGTTCCAGGTAATTTCGTGACGTCATCATCAGTACTTACATTGAAAACTCAAATATAAATTTTTGACAGGCTTGTAAGGTGAAGTGAAGCTGTGGTGGTAATACAACGGCCAAAGCCTCACTTCCCTATTTCAAGCCTTATAATAGGCTGATTTCTAAAAATCTTAGTGACGTCATCATTAGTACGGTTTTTGTATCTTTGATAGCCAAATGCCTGAAATAATTACATTTTGCATCTAATTTCGTGACGTCATCACCAATACTCGTATTGAAAACTCAAATATAAGTTTTTACTTCATTACTATCACAAGCCTATAGTAGGCTAATTCGTAAAAATCTTAGTGACGTCATCATCAGTACGTTTCTTGTATTCTTGATTGCCAAAAAACTTATCTCTTGACGTCACCACTTCCTTTGTAGTAGGCTGATTCCTAAAAATCTTGGTGACGTCATTATTATTAAGATTTTTGTATCTTTGATGGCCTTGGGCCTGGAATAATCATATTTTGAATCTGATTTCGTGACGTCATCATCAGTACAGTCTTGTACTAAGTTGATTTCTAAAAATCTTAGTGACGTCATCATTAATATGTTTTTTGTATCTTTGATGGCCAAATGGTTAGAATAATCACATTTTGCATTTGATTTCGTGACGTCATCACCAGTACTCACATTGAAAACTCAAATATAAATTTTTTACTTCACTCTACTATCACAAGCCTATAGTAGGCTAAATCGAAAAAATCTCAGTGACGTCATCATCAGTACGTTTTTTGTATTCTTGATTGCCAAAAAACTTATTTCTTGACGTCACCATCAGTCTCACTTTCCTATTGCAATCCTTGTAGTAGGCTGATTTCTAAAAATCTTAGTGACGTCATCATTAGTGTCTTTTTCGTATCTTTGATAGCCAAATGCCAGGAATAATCATATTTTGAATCTGATTTCGTGACGTCATCATCAGTACAGTCTTGTAGTAAGTTGATTTCTAAAAATCTTAGTGACGTCATCATTAATACGTTTTTTGTATCTTTGATGGCCAAATGCCTAGAATAATCACATTTTGCATCTGATTCCGTGACGTCATCATAAGCACGTTTCTTGTATTGATTTTATTCGAATTATTCTGATCTGAAGTTCCAGTTGCACTAATTCTTTTTGAATTTCGTGTTACTCTAACTGTTCCAATTATTCTAATTCTGTTCTATCTGCACTAACTCTGTTCTAACTACTCTAAATCATTCAATTTTTTTACTCTAACAATAAATCAACTTGCACTGACTCTGTTCGAATTGTTCCAATTCAATTTTTGACTCTGCTCGAACTGTTCTGACCTGAATTTGCCGTTTATGCTCTAATTATTTTCTAGTTGCCTTAATTCTATTTGACTTCCGTATTACTCTAACTGTTCCGATTACTCTAATTCTGTTCTACCTACACTAACTCTATTCTAGCTACTCTAAATCATTCAATTTATGTACTCCAACAATAAATTAATTTGTAAAAACACTTGCACTGACTCTATGTTCGAATTGTTCTAATTTTATTTTTAACTCTGCTCAATCTGTTCTGACCTGAATTTGCCCTTTATGCTCTAATTATGTTCCAGTTGTATTAATTCTATTTGAATTTCGTATTACTCTAACTGTTCCAATTATTCTAATTCTGTTCTATCTACACTAACTCTGTTCTAACTACTCTAAATCATTCAATTTATTTACTCTAACAATAAATCAACATGCACTGACTCTGTTCGAATTGTTCTAATATAATTTTTGACTCTACTCGAACTGTTCTGATTTGAATTTGCCATTTATCCTCTAATTCTGTTCCCGTGGCACTGATTCTTTTTGAATTTCGTATTACTCTTACTGTTCCAATTATTCTAATTCTGTTCTATCTACACTAACTCTGTTCTAACTACTCTAAATCATTCAATTTTTTTACTCTAATAATAAATCAACTTGCACTAACTCTGTTCGAATTGTTCTAATTTTATTTTTGACCCTGCTCGAACTGTTCTGATTTGAATTTCACATTTTAAGTAATTATGCGTTTCTGCTCCATTTGCACTAATTGTAATTATATTACTCTTGAGTGTTCCAATTATCTTAATTTCTGTTCCATCTGCACCAACTCTGTTCCGTTTGCACTATTTCGATTGTCACGTTATCTTCCAGCTAAAAATAGGCGATTTCGGTTTGATGAGGGCCCTGCCCCAAGAAGACGACTGCTACGTAATGACCGAACACAAAAAAGTCCCCTTCCCTTGGTGCGCCCCTGAATCTTTACGCTCCCGCCAATTCTCGCACGCCTCCGACACCTGGATGTTCGGAGTGACAATTTGGGAAATGTTCAGTTTCGGCGAAGATCCCTGGATGGGGCTGATCGGTTCGGAAATTTTGCGGAAAATCGAAAAAGAGGGCGAACGCCTGGCGCCACCCGACGCCTGCCCTCAGAGAATTTACGCTACGCTGTTGCAATGTTGGGCGAAAAATCCTCAAGACCGCCCCACGTTCGGCGCCCTCAAGGAATTTTTCCGCAAAAACGCCACGCCCGTTATGAAAGCTTTGGCCAATCAAATCGAACCTGACAAGCTGCGCATGACAGAAGGCGACGACATTACTATAATCGACGGCAGCGCCGAATTATATTGGTGGAAAGGCCAAAACCAACGGACATTTGACGTAGGACTTTTTCCAAGGTATTTAAAAAAAAGACATTTAATTGACAGTTGACAATTGATTGACGTTTAGATGTTTGGTTGACCCGTTGCGCCCCAAACAGCCCGATGACATCAGCAAACCGCTGGACAATAGTTTCATTCACACGGGGCACGGTTCGGCGTTCGGAGCGAGTTGGGGCAGCCCCGGGCGGATCGACGAAATGTATTTGGGCAATCCGATGGAACCGCCCGATTTGGGCGGCACTGCGCAGAGGCGCCGCCCTCAGTTTGCTACTTCGCCCCAATTGGGCGATCGGCGCAAGGTTAAAAGCCGTAAGTGAACTGAATAGTGTTTTGACTCTGTTCGAACTGTTTCAAAATTTTTTTGGAACGATTTAAATTTTTTTTTTCAACGAGTTCTGAAAATTTTCAGGAACATTTTAGAATTTTTTGGAACATTCTAGAACGTTCCAGAATTTTTTTAATTTTTTTTCAACGAATATTCAATCTGTTCCAACGACTTCTGTGATTTTTTTAAAACATTCTAGAACATTTCAAAATTTTTTGGAACATTCTAGAACGTTTCAGAATTTTTTAAATTTTCTTTCAACTAGGTTTCAATCTGCTCCAACGACTTCTGAGAAGTTTTAGGAAAATTTCAGATTTTTTTGGAACATTTTAGAACGTTCCACATTTTTTTGAAACAATATAATTTTTTTCCAACAAGTTTTCAATTTGTTCCAACGGGTTCTGGGATTTTTTGGCAACATTCTAGAACATTTCAGAATTTTTGGGCACATTTAAGAACGTTCCAAAATTTTTTTGAAACATTCTAAATTTTTTCCAACGAGTTTTCAATCTGTTTCAACAAGTTCTGAGAGTTGTTAGGATCATTTTAGAATTTTTTGGAATATTCTAGAACGTTCCAAAATTTTTTTGAAACATTCTAAATTTTTTCCAACGAGTTTTCAATCTGTTTCAACAAGTTTTGAGAATTTTTAGGAAAATTTTGGAAGTTTTGAGAACATTTTAGAACGTTCCAGAATGTTTTTCGAACAATCTATATTTTTTTCAATCTGTTGCAATAAATTCTGGGAATTTTTAGGAACATTTTAGAAATGTTTGAAACATTTTAGAACTTTCTAGAATCTTTTTGAAACAATCTAAATTTTTTTCAACGAGTTTTCATTCTGTTCCAATAAGTTCTAGGAGTTGTTAGGAACATTTTGGAATTTTTGGGAACATTTTAGAATGTTTCAGAATTTTTTGGAACAATCTAATTTTTTTCCGATGAGTTTTCAATCTGTTCCAATAATCTCTGAGAATTTTTAGGAACATTTTAGAATTTTTTGAAACATTTTAGAACGTTCCAGAATGTTTTTAGAACAATCTAAATTTTTTTCAACGAGTTTTCATTGTGTTCCAATAAGTTTTGGGGGTTGTTAGTAACATTTTAGAATTTTTTGGAACATTCTAGAACGTTCCAGAATGTTTTTGGAACAATCTAAATTTTTTTCAACGAGTTTTCATTGTGTTCCAATAAGTTTTGGGGGTTGTTAGTAACATTTTAGAATTTTTTGGAACATTCTAGAACGTTCCAGAATGTTTTTGGAACAATCTTAATTTTTTTCAACGAGTTTTTTTTCTGTTCCAATAAGTTTTGGGGGTTGTTAGGAACATTTTAGAATTTTTTGAAACATTTTAGAACGTTCCAAAATTTTTTTGAAACAATCTAAATTTTTTTCAACGAGTTTTCATTCTGTTCCAATAAGTTTTGGGGGTTGTTGGGAACATTTTAGAATTTTTTGAAACATTTTAGAACGTTCCAAAATTTTTTTGAAACAATCCAAATTTTTTTCAACGAGTTTTCATTCTGTTCCAATAAGTTTTGGAGATTGTTAGGAACATTTTAGAATTTTTTGGAACATTCTAGAACGTTCCAGAATGTTTTTGGAACAATCTAAATTTTTTTCAACGAGTTTTCATTGTGTTCCAATAAGTTTTGGGGGTTGTTAGGAACATTTTAGAATTTTTTGAAACATTTTAGAACGTTTCAGAATGTTTTTGGAACAATCTAAATTTTTTTCAACAAGTTTTCATTCTGTTCCAATAAGTTTTGGGGGTTGTTACTGTTGTTAGGAACATTTTAGAAATTTTTGAAACATTTTAGAACGTTCCAAAATTTTTTTGAAACAATCTAAATTTTTTTCAATGAGTTTTCATTCTGTTCCAATACGTTTTGGGGTATGTTAGGAACATTATAGAATTTTTTGGAACATTCTATAACGTTTCAGAATGTTTTTGGAACAATCTAAATTTTTTCCAACAAGTTTTCATTCTGTTCCAATAAGTTTTGGAGGTTGTTGGAACATTTTAGAATTTTTTGAAACATTTTAGAACGTTCCAAAAAATTTTTGAAACAATCTAAATTATTTTCAACGAGTTTTCATTCTGATCCAATAAGTTTTGGGGGTTGTTAGGAACATTTTAGAATTTTTTGGAACATTCTAGAACGTTTCAGAATGTTTTGGGAACAATCTAAATTTTTTTCAACGAGTTTTCAGTCTGTTCCAATAAGTTTTGGGGGTTGTTAGGAACATTTTAGAATTTTTTGGAACATTCTAGAAAGTTCCAGAATGTTTTTGGAACAATCTTAATTTTTTTCAACGACTTTTCATTCTGTTTCAATAAGTTTTGGGGGTTGTTGGAACATTTTAGAATTTTTTGAAACATTTTAGAACGTTCCAAAATTTTTTGAAACAATCTAAATTAGTTTCAACGAGTTTTCATTCTGATCCAATAAGTTTTGGGGGTTGTTAGGAACATTTTAGAATTTTTTGGAACATTCTAGAACGTTCCAGAATGTTTTTGGAACAATCTAAATTTTTTTCAACGAGTTTTCATTGTGTTCCAATAAGTTTTGGGGGTTGTTAGGAACATTTTAGAATTTTTTGGAACATTCTAGAACGTTTCAGAATGTTTTGGGAACAATCTAAATTTTTTTCAACGAGTTTTCAGTCTGTTCCAATAAGTTTTGGGGGTTTTTAGGAACATTTTAGAATTTTTTGGAACGTTCTAGAATGTTCCAGAATGTTTTTGGAACAATCTAAATTTTTTTCAACCAGCTTTCATTCTGTTCCAATAAGTTTTGGGGGTTGTTACTGTTGTTAGGAACATTTTAGAAATTTTTGAAACATTTTAGAACGTTCCAAAATTTTTTTGAAACAATCTAAATTTCTCTCAATGAGTTTTCATTCTGTTCCAATACGTTTTGGGGTATGTTAGGAACATTATAGAATTTTTTGGAATATTCTATAACGTTTCAGAATGTTTTTGGAACAATCTAAATTTTTTCCAACAAGTTTTCATTCTGTTCCAATAAGTTTTGGAGGTTGTTAGGAACATTTTAGAATTTTTTGGAACGTTCTAGAACGTTCCAGAATGTTTTTGGAACAATCTAAATTTTTTTCAACCAGCTTTCATTCTGATCCAATAAGTTTTGGGGGTTTTTAGGAACATTTTAGAATTTTTTGGAACGTTCTAGAATGTTCCAGAATGTTTTTGGAACAATCTAAATTTTTTTCAACCAGCTTTTATTCTGTTCCAATAAGTTTTGGGGGTTGTTACTGTTGTTAGGAACATTTTAGAAATTTTTGAAACATTTTAGAACGTTCCAAAATTTTTTTGAAACAATCTAAATTTTTCTCAATGAGTTTTCATTCTGTTCCAATACGTTTTGGGGTATGTTAGGAACATTATAGAATTTTTTGGAATATTCTATAACGTTTCAGAATGTTTTTGGAACAATCTAAATTTTTTCCAACAAGTTTTCATTCTGTTCCAATAAGTTTTGGAGGTTGTTAGGAACATTTTAGAATTTTTTGGAACGTTCTAGAACGTTCCAGAATGTTTTTGGAACAATCTAAATTTTTTTCAACCAGCTTTCATTCTGATCCAATAAGTTTTGGAGGTTGTTAGGAACATTTTAGAATTTTTTGGAACATTCTAGAACGTTCCAGAATTTTTTCAAAACAATTTAAATTTTTTTCAACGAGTTTTCAATTTTTTCCAACGAGTTCTGAGAAGTTTCAAGAACATTTCAGAATTTTTTGGTACATTTTGGAACGTTTCAGAATTTTTTGAAACGATCTATTTTTTTTTAACGAATTATCAATCCGTTTTAACGAGTTTTGAAAATTTTTAGGAACATTTTAAATCTTTTTGGAACATTCTCGAATGTTCCAGAATTTCTTAAATTTTTTTCCGACGAGTTCTCAATCTGTTCTGACGAGTTCTGAAAATTTTTAGGAATTTTTTTGAATTTTAATAGGTCTGCCAATGACGTCATTAGCAGGCTTGTAAATTGGAGTGAGGCTGTGGCCGTGTTAATCAAATGGCAACAGCCTAACTTCACTACAACAAGCCTTTGTAGTAGGCTTAAGAGGCTGACTCAAAAAAAAAATTCTAGTAAACGGCCCTTTACGTGCAGTGACACTTGACAAGCAATTCAGCTATCGAAAACTCAAAAACCAACCGGAAATATCGATATCGACGAATCCAAGAGAATCGATTTTAATCGACGTTTCGGCTCCGCCTCCAATAATCGAACCGCACAATCGCAGCTCGAGCCTATTGGACGAACCCATTGACGTACCGCAAGAAGGTAAATGCATCAAACTGTCAAAACTGTCAAACATTTTTTTTTTTGACATTTTAGATGTGACAGTGCCGCCCCCTTACACCAACCCGCCCGCCTACTACAACACGTCAATCGAAGACGAAATAATGCAAAAAATCGCTTCGATGGGCGACGTTGCCAGATCGCAACTGGTAAAATCCCCTGAGAAAAGCTTCGCTACACCTGTCAATGTCGACAGTGTTGCCAACAATTTAGAGTTGCTACAGCTTGACAGTTGCTATACAAATGTTTATGCCAAATCTTATGTTGATAGTAGTAGCAAAAACGATACGAAATCGGTTATCGATAAGATTTGGGTCGATACGAATCGAGTCGATAGAGAAATTTACGTTGTCGATTCCGAGTTTGGGCAATTCAAGAGCAACCGTCGATATGAACCTGCTCGGAGTAGCAACACTTATACCGGTAAGGTTTTGTAGCGTTTTCATTTAGCTTTACCCCAGAGTAATACATTTGCAGATCCGCGCTTGTATGATTATAGTAATACGGAAAACTTCTACAGCCAAGTGCCGGAGGAAGAGTTGAGGCCTCATAGACCAGCGCCGCCGCTGAGCATGCAACAAATCCAACGGAAAATCCAGCTCAGCGCCGACGCTGAACGTCTTATGACGCCCGAGTACCGAAACGTCAAAATCTCTCAGGTCAAAGATGGCGTCGGAGGTCAAGCTACAAACGACCAATGTTTGACAGTGTTGCTACAAACTGGGTGGGACGTCGATTTGGCTGTCAGACAATTGAAAATTGACAGTCTAATGAAGTATGTATATGTTGCATAATTTGACTGTTAATGTTTAAATTACTTTTGTTTGTAGGTTGGGGTTGGTTGACAGGAGGAGATGCGAGGAGGCTTTGGAACGGGCCAATTGGAATTTGGAGTTGGCCGCTTCCGCCATTTTGGACTTGTGATTGGCCAGGATTTAAGTTTTTGGTGCCAAAGATGTTTGTTGCTATGTGTGGCAACATTGTTGATTTATTTTTTAGGGCCAAAAAAATTAGGATAAATTGTATATTTTTCTTTGTTTAATGGTATGGTGGAGTGAGGCTGTCAATTGTCAATGTCAAGGTAAGTGTCAAATTTGTTTTCACAACGTTGCCAAGTTTGTGAAATTGTTTTCTGCATTTTTTTTTTTTTTTTCAATGGGTCTGCTAGTGACGTCATTAGCAGACTTATTCCAAAATTGTATATATTAATTAGGGGTTTGATATGATTAAGTAAGGCTGTCAATTGTCAAGGTAAGTGTCAATTTTTTTTTATTTTTATAATGTTGCCAGGTGAGCGAAGCTGTTTTTTGCAAATTTTGATTTTTTTTTAATGGGTCTGCCAGTGACGTCATTAGCAGACTTGTAAATTGGAATGAGGTTATGATTTATAGTTTTTTCTAAAAATTTAAGATTACGTCATCATTAGTACGTTTTTTTTTTTTATATCTTTGATGATCAAATGCTTGTAATAATCACATTTTGTATCTGATTTCGTGACGTCATCATCAGTACTCATATTGGTACTTCACTGTTGCAAACCTATAGTAGGCTGATTCGTAAAAATCTCAATGACGTCATCATAAGTACGTTTTTTGCATTCTTGATTGCTAAAAAACTTATTTTGTGACGTCACCATCAGTACTTACATTGAAAACTCAAATATAAATTTTCGGAAGGCTTGTAAAGTGGAGTGAGGCTGTGGCTGTGTTAATCAAATGGCCACAGCCTCACTTCCCTATTGCAAGCCTTGTAGTAGGCTGATGACGTCATCATTTTTTGCATCTTTGATGACCAATTTTGTCACTTACTCAAAATTTTGAAATAAATGTCGGTTTCCTTACATGATGACGTCACTTGCAGACCACAACAAAACCCGTTTCAAACTAAAAATCCTTCCGCAAGCCCCAGTGACAGACCAATTTTGTCACTTTCACTCAAAATTTTGAAATAAAAATCCTTTTCTTACATGATGACGTCACTTGCAGACCACAACAAAACCCGTTTCAAATCATAGTGACAGACCAATTTTGTCACTTTTGTTTAAAATTTTGAAATCAATATCCTGATACAAGGTTTCCTTACATGATGACGTCATTTGCAGACCACAACAAAAACCGTTTCAAACTAAAAATCCACCCGCAACGTCATCATTAGTAAGTTTTTTGCATCTCTGATGGCCAAATGCCTGGAATAATCACATTTTGCATCTTATTTCGTGACGTCATCATCAGTACAAGTAAGCCTTGTAGTAGGCCGATTCCAATAACTACTCGTTTTCACTCCAGAGTAAAAAAAAAAAAAACTACATTTTGCTCTAAAAAAAAAATTTATTCCGATTCAATTTCCATTTCCTGCTCCAATTCCTTGTCCCAGTCCTTCATTTTTGCGCTCATCTGAAAATCGTCCCTTAAAACGTCCCACCCCTTGTTGGCCTCGGGTTTGCTCTGCTCCAAGCTGATTGGTTGTGATTTTTCGCCCATCAAAACGTCCAAGAAGGCCCTCTTGTCGATATTCTTGAGGACTTTTTCCTTGCGGGTCGATAGAGGGCCCGCTTCGTCCAGTTTCTTCGAAATGTCATTCTGTTGACTTTTGACAGCGTTGAATAGCTGGACGGCGCCCCTGGTGGCGATTTTCTGAAGCGTCCGTTCTCTGGCTTTGTCCAAAATCGACGGTTTCACTCTTAAATTTAATTCATTTTTCTGTTTAATTTTAATAATTACAGGTTCCTTTTTTTTTGTTTGTGTCGGTATATCGGAGGGTTGCTTCACTTGGCCATCCAGGGTTGCTACTTGGAAACTTTCCGGTTGCACTGTTCTAACGGGGTCGGTCAGTTTTTTCGCTTTGGACAGCACCAGGGTCTTTTTCTTCTTCGGTTTGTTGGTTCGGAGTATTTTGGCGATCGAATCCGCCCAGCCTTCGTTCAGTAGAATTCTACTTTCCTCGTCGATAATTTCCGAGTCTTCGGAGCAATCTGAGTCCGAATTTTCATGTTCTGGGGCTTGATTTTTCTTAGAGACGATCATTTTTAATGTTGTTTGGGTTTGGATTTCATAACCTCAAAAGAAGGAAAAACGTGTTGTGACAGTTTGACATTTGTCTTTACATTGGGTGTGTTCCGTTTGCACTTTTTTTTGCCTCTATTCTTGACTTGTAAAATTCGTGGTTATAAATTACTCCCCAAGTGTTCGATTTGCACTATTATTAAATTGTTTTTACTCCAACTGTTCTAATCAAATGGTTAAAGCCTTGCTCTACTATTGTAAAGCTGAATGAGCTGATTAAAAATTTTAGTGACGTCATTATCAGTACTTGTCTTATATCGTAGGTCTGGAATAATATATCAATTAGATAATTTTAGTGACGTCACCATCAGTACTTGTCTTGTATATTAGCTTGAAATTATCAATCGATTAGATAATTTTAATGACGTCATCATCAGTTTGACCATTTTATACTTCTCTGCTTCAAATATTGTGTTCGGAGTAAATGGAGTAACTTTATTTGAGTGCGAGTTGTGAAACTTATTTTTAATTTTTCAATAATCAGTGACGTCATCGTAAAACCCTATAAATAGAATTCTGTTTAAAGTCGTTGTAAATATCTGTTCTTTTTACTCTAAAGTACTCCGATTTAATATTTCATTTTTACTCCATTTGACTGAACTGGGAGTACTCCAATTACTACAATAAGTTTTGTTGTTCGACATTTAATCCAAACTGAACAAAAAACTGCTCCGCTTCAATTAATTGTCTAAATATTGCACCTTTATTGATGACGTCATCGTTGCTACTAATAAATTAAAAATATTTTCTGCTCCGGAGTAGTTTTTGATCGTGCAGGCTTTTTTTTTTCGGAGTTGAACAGATCAAAAAGAGTCAGTGCATTTGGAACAGTTACAGAGTATAATTACTAAAAACCCAAAAAAACACAGTTACTGGTCAATTTTGTCACTTTTGCTCAAAATCTGATTCTCAAAAATCTCCGTGACGTCATTATTTAAACGTGTTTTGTATCCTTGATAGGCATATGCCTGGAATAATCAAATCAATGAAATAAATTCAATGGTATTTATTTTGCATCGTTGATAGGCAAATATCAGTAAAAATAAATCAATTAAAAAAATTAATGACGTCATTGTCGGTACGTGATTTGTTCATGTTCATGTAATTAATTGCCTTATTTATGTTCCATTTGTACTAATTCTATTTAAATTCCGAATGACTTTGACTGTTTTAACTCTTGTCTATTTGCACTAACTCTCTTTGCTTATTATAAGATGTGATGACGTCCACTGCAGACCCAAAAAAAACCGTTTCAAATTCAAAATGCACTCGCAAAACACAGTGACTGGTCAGTTTTAATCAAAATTTTGAAATAAATATCCTTGCTACAAGGCAATTTTACATAATGACGTCACTTGCAGACCGAACTAAAAATGCACCCGCAAGCTACAGTGACAAATCAATTTTGTCACTTCTGCTCAAAATCTGATTCCTAAAAATCTCCGTGACGTCATTATCTAAACGTGTTTTGTATCCTTGATAGCCATATGCCTGGAATAATCAATCAAATAAATTCAATGGTATTTATTTTGCATCCTTGATAGGCAAATATCATTAAAAATAAATCAATTAAGATCAAAAAGCTTAATAAATCTGCTTGGAATAAAAAACTAATACTAAGAGTAAGTTAAATCAAGTTAGTGCAAATGGAACAGAATTAGAACAGTTGAACAAATCAAAAAGAGTCAGTGCATTTGGAACAGTTAGAGTACAATTACTAAAAACCCAAAATTGATTTTCAAATTAGCCTCCGATAAATAGAATTCTATTCGACCGATGAAAATTCTTATTACAATATGTGATGACGTCAACTGCAGACCCAACAAAAACCGTTTCAAATTCAAAATGCACCCGCAAAACACATTGACTGGTCAGTTTTAATCAAAATTTTGAAATGAAGACAATTTTACATGATGATTACGTCACTTGCAGACCTAACAAAATCCGTTTCAAACTAAGAATGCACCCGCAATCCACAGTGACAGACCAATTTTGTCAGTTTTACTCGAAATTTTCTTGTTACAAAGTTTCCTTACACGATGACGTCACTTGCAGACCTCAACAAAAACCGTTTCAAATTAAAAATCCATGCGCAAGCCCCAGTGACAGACCAATTTTGTCACTTTTGCTCAAAATTTTGAAAAGCAAATTTACATGATGACATCACTTGCAGACCACAACAAAACCAGTTTCAAACTAAAAATCCACCCGCAAGCCACAGTGACAGACCAATTTTGTCACTTTTGTTCAAAATTTTGAAATAAATATCCTTATTACAAGGTTTCTTTACATGATGACGTCACTTGTAGACCACAACAAAATTCGTTCCAAAATAAAAATGCACCCGCAAGCCACAGTGACAGACTAATTTTGTCACTTTTGTTCAAAATTTTGAAATAAATATCCATGTATAAGGTTTTCTTACATGATGACGTCACTTGCAGACTACAACAAAACCCGTTTCAAACTAAAAATGCACCCGCAAAACACAGTGACTGGTCAGTTTTAATCAAAATTTTGAAATAAATATCCTTGTTACAAGGTTTCCTTACATGATGACGTCACTTGCAGACCACAACAAAACCCGTTTCAAACTAAAATTCCACCCACAAGCCACAGTGACAAACCAATTTTGTCACTTTTGTTCAAAATTTTGAAATAAATATCCTTATTACAAGGTTTCTTTACGTGATGACGTCACTTGCAAACCACAACAAAACCCGTTTCAAACCACAGTGACAGATCAATTTTGTCACTTTTGTTTAAAAAATTTGAAATAAATATCCTTGTTACAAGGTGTCCTTACATGATGACGTCGCTTGCAGACCATAACAAAATTCGTTTCAAACTAAAAATCCACCCGCAAACCACAGTGATAGACCAATTTTGTCAGTTTTACTCGAAATTTCCTTGTTACAAGGTTTCCTTACACGATGACGGCACTTGCAGACCACAACAAAAACCGTTTCAAATTAAAAATCCATGCGCAAGCCCCAGTGACAGACCAATTTTGTCACTTTTGGTCAGAATTTTGAAATAAATATCCTTATTGCAAGGTTTTCTTACATGATGACGTCATTTGCAGACTACAACAAAACCCGTTTCAAACCACAGTAACAGACTAATTTTGTCACTTTTATTCAAAATTTTGAAAGGCAATTTTACATGATGACATCACTTGCAGACCACAACAAAACCAGTTTTAAACTAAAATTCCACCCGCAAGCCACAGTGACAGACCAATTTTGTCACTTTTGTTCAAAATTTTGAAATAAATATCCTTATACAAGGTTTCTTTAGGTGATGACGTCACTTGCAGACCACAACAAAACCCGTTTCAAACTAAAAATACACCCGCAAGCCATTGTGACAGACCAATTTTGTCACTTTTGCTCAAAATTTTGAAATAAATATCCTTATACAAGGTTTCCTTAAATAATGACGTCACTTGCAGACCACAACAAAACCCATTTCAAGCCACAGTAACAGACCAATTTTATCACTTTTACTCAAAATTTTGAAAGGCAATTTTACATGATGACATCACTTGCAGACCACAATAAAACCAGTTTCAAACTAAAAATCCACCCCCAAGTCACAGTGACAGACCAATTTTGTCACTTTTGTTCAGAATTTTGAAATAAATATCTTTATTACAAAGTTTTTTTACATGATGACGTCACTTGCAGACCACAACAAAACCCATTTCAAGCCACAGTAACAGACCAATTTTATCACTTTTACTCAAAATTTTGAAACGCAATTTTACATGATGACATCACTTGCAGACCACAATAAAACCAGTTTCAAACTAAAAATACACCCGCAAGCCACAGTGACAGACCAATTTTGTCACTTTTGTTCAGAATTTTGAAATAAATATCCTTATTACAAAGTTTTTTTACATGATGACGTCACTTGCAGACCACAACAAAACCCATTTCAAGCCACAGTAACTGACCAATTTTGTCACTTTTGTTCAAAATTTTGAAATAAATATCCTTATATAAGGTTTCCTTACGTGATGACGTCACTTGCAGACCACAACAAAACCCGTTTCAAACTAAAAATACACCCGCAAGCCACAGTGACAGACCAATTTTGTCACTTTTGCTCAAAATTTTGAAATAAATATCCTTATACAAGGTTTCCTTGCATGATGACGTCACTTGCAGACCACAACAAAACCCGTTTCAAACCACAGTGACTGACCAATTTTGTCACTTTTGTTCAAAATTTTGAAATAAATATCCTTATATAAGGTTTCCTTACGTGATGACGTCACTTGCAGACCACAACAAAACCCGTTTCAAACTAAAAATACACCCGCAAGCCACAGTGACAGACCAATTTTGTCACTTTTGCTCAAAATTTTGAAATAAATATCCTTATACAAGGTTTCCTTGCATGATGACGTCACTTGCAGACCACAACAAAACCCGTTTCAAACCACAGTGACAGACCAATTTTGTCACTTTTGTTCAAAATTTTGAAAAAAATATCCTTATATAAGGTTTCCTTACGTGATGACGTCACTTGCAGACCACAACAAAACCCGTTTCAAACTAAAAATACACCCGCAAGCCACAGTGACAGACCAATTTTGTCACTTTTGCTCAAAATTTTGAAATAAATATCTTTATACAAGGTTTCCTTTCATGATGACGTCACTTGCAGACCACAACAAAAACTGTTCTATTTGCATTAAACTACTCCAATTTGCATTTTATTCACTATAACAACAAATCAACTTATAAAAACACTTGCACTCGCTCTGAGCACTGAAATACTTTGTAAATCGAGCAGAATCCCTGTAAACCAAATTCAAAACATTTTCGACCGGTTCAATAGTAATCAAGGCATTTTGGACTTCGTCCTCAATTGTGACGTAATGGGTGCGGGCACCAATCACATTCCTCGGATTTTGACAGCCGAAGTAAACTGTCAAATCCAGCTCGTTTTTCGACCAATCATAATCGTTTAAAAGCTACAAAAAAAAATTATTAAATTATTTAATTATTAATCAATTAATTAATTACTTCGTAATTGTCCGGAGTCCATCGTTGAAGTTCGGTTTTGACTTTAACTAAATCCAATTGGGTGTATTGGTGCAATAATGCAAACATTTGATTGGACTGAAATAAGTCAAGAAGGCGTTCAATTGGGTGGGGTAGTTTTGAGGCGGCAACGTCGTAATTGAGCCGATTGATGGGCCCTCGTTTCGCCCAATCGATGTTGCCCAATTGGGCAATAATTGCCTGAAACGGTTCGAGTTTTAGGAAGTTTTTAAGCGAAATTTCCGAGTTTTCTTCGACATGATTTTGGATTAGTTGGATCGATTTTGGGCTTAAATAATCGATATTTATCCAGGATTTTAAGTCGATATCGATAGTTTTGGGGCTCGAGTAAGTGTCGGCAAATAAGCCCTGGGGCTTGTATAAGGGGGCCTCGAATTTTTCGGGGCTTTTGGTGTGGAACCATCCGTTGATCGATAGGCGGTATTTGTTTAGGCCTACTATTTCTGAAACCTAAAAAAAAATTATTCACGGTGAATGTTAACAAATGGCAACGAAAAAAAAAAGAAGAATTTTATAAAATTCTTCTTTTTTTTTTTGTAAAATTCTTCTTTTTTCTGTAGCCTCACTTACTCTGTGATAAGACCGATTCGTAACTGGAAAAAAGACGAATTGATTAGCGCGGGGCCACAAATTTTTGACAGATTGATTGGGGTGCCCTCTACTATCAGTGCCAATAAGCTGCAAAGCGCCCCCTTCATTTTCATCGGTCAAATACAAAATAAAGGCGATTTTTCTGTCGTCTTTTTGGTCGTCGTGCACCAGCAAATAGTCGGTGTTGGTGTACAAGCTGCACGTCACCGAAACGTCGGTCAAGTCGGTATCGATAATTGCAGAAACCTGTAATTTTACTTCATTATTATTATAATTAAAATTAAAATAATTTACCCATTGTTTTACGTCGTCAATTAAAAACTTGTAAAACGTCACCATTGTGTCAGAATTGTAGTGTTTCAAGTCCCTGGATTGAAAAAACTCGTACAGATCCAAATGTCTCAGATTGAAATCAAGGTCATACAATGACGTCACGAATTTCTCAATCCAAAAATTCTCAATGAAATTATTAATTACACAGACTTTAAATGGCTGAATAATTAATTCAAAGTTGTCACTTTTCAATTGTTTATCTGCTTTGTAATTGTTTTTGATTGAAGCTTGTGATATTTCTGATCGTATAGTGAAACATCTTCTGAACCGTTTCTGAGACAAGGCAGTGCAAGTGGGCATCAGGTGGCGGCCGGTAACGCAGGAAACTGTAGTCAAGGGTAAAATTTTGCAGTCAGAGTCCCACTGGTCGCATTCCAGTTCCGGTTCGCTCTCTGAGCTTGACTCCGAACAAATTTCTTCTAAATTAAAACGATTATTAATGGAGCTAATTAATTAATTAATTAAATTACCTTCTTCACTATTCATAATAATAATAATTATTGTTGTTTGTGTATGATTCTAACCGCACTCTTCTTTTTTTTTTTTTAGCCTCTCGAGCCTCACTTCACTTCACAAGGGCCACAGCCTCACTTTACGGTACAAGCCTCTTTGAACAATTATTGTTAATTCATAAGTTATGACGTCATAGAAATATTTTGTTTATAAATAATAAAATAAAATTTAGTGAAATTGCATTTGGTTAATTAATTGTAAAGGACTTGTGATGGCGTCATTATTTTCACTAATTACTGCTAACGACATCTATTAGAGAAAAGTTAAACTAGTTGTTACAGGAATCTGTAATTGACAGGCGACATTTATCGAACAAAATCTAAACTAATTATTACAGGAAGCTGTAATTAGTGACCAAATAATGACGTCACCATAAGTGCTACCCGTTTTAGAAAAAAATTAAATACGATTGTTTATAGATAATTGTTAAGTAGCTACAATAAATTAATGTTTGTTTAAATTGATTTGTTTCATTTTCCCTTATTACCTCTTGACGTTTCTGCGCTCCCAATACGATTTTTGGTAAAATTTCAGGAAAATTTGGCAAATTTCATCTCTTCATGTTTCTGTGTTCCTGATACAAAATCGGATTTTTAGGAAAATTCCAAAATTTTTGAAATTTCTAATTTTGTATCAGGTGAGCAGAAACGTGAAGAGGTATTTCTCATCTCTTTGCGTTCCTGTGTTCCTGATACAAAGTTGGATTTTTAGGAAAATTCATCAAAAATTGGATTTTGTATTAGGAACACAGGAACGCAAAGAGATAAAATTTTCCTCACAAAATGGCAAAAGCGTTCTGAAATTAAATTTGGGGAAAAATAAAACGAAAAATTTCGGAAAAATTATTTATTTTCTTCCATAATTAACAATAATAAATGGACAAAAGGGCACTAGGAGTTGTCCTGAAGGTTGTAAAACCACCTGAAACAAAGCTAAGGTTAATTTTTAAGAAAATTTCAACTTTGCAGCCCTATAACTAGGAAACTGGATAAGTCTGGAAATCCTGGATAAGGCCATTTTGTAGCAAATTTAATTCTCTTTCGAATGAAACTTGATTTATTGAAATCGGTCCAGGCGTTCCAGAGTCATCGCCGATTTAATGGGACCATGTCAGGCTGGAAAAGGCCCCCTATGAATTTCCTTTTCTATTTTTTTCCAGGCTTAGGAAATATCCTACAGGAAAATGCCAAATAGCTTTTCTGCTTGTTTTCACCTCCTCTATACACTGCAATTTTTGTTTTTCCAAAATTCGGAAAATTTTGATTTTCCATTTTGTGGGGTATAGAAAAGGCCCGGAAAATCCTGGAAAAACTGGAAATTAAGGGGCAAAAAGTGGGTTCCGACATTTGTTTAGATGTCCTCTATGACGTCATCAAAGAAAATCCGGGAAATTTTGACTTTGATTTTTTGGCCGAAAAAAAAAGGAAGGCTTAAACCCATCGATTTTAAAATTTCCAAGTGGAATATCTTGGAAATGGTAAGTCCTAGAGGGAAAACTCACTAAGGTTTTTTTGTAGATCTCGACGAGCTCTACAATGTAGCCATGAACAGTTTTCCTCTAGGACTTACCATTACGGAGCTACAGCCCGTTGAAGTTGAGATTTTTGTCATTTTCCAGTGTCTCCTGTGTTATAGGTATAGGCCCAAAAATCGAAGTCAAAATTTCGAAATTTCAAGATAGCCATTTTGTAGAGGGGATCCCAAAAAGTCCCGAAACCAACTTTTTTCCCCTTAATTTTCCGATTTTCCAGGGCTTTTCCAGGTTTTTTTGAATTAAATGGAACCTTTTGTAAATTAATTTTTTTCTGGAAAACTAGCAAAGAGAAAATTTTGAAAATTTTTCACGAAAAACAAGAAAGTGTAGAGCTCATTATAGGAAAATTTCAAAATTTTCCGGTGGAAAATTATTTCAGGAAAAATTTCGGATAACTGACTTTTTTAAGCAAAATTCACCCATTTACATTTTAATTTTTTTCTGGAAAAATGGTAAAGGAAAAAATTTAAAAATTTTTCAGTTAAAAGAGGAAAGTGAAAAGATCATTATTGGAAAATTTCAAAATTTTCCAATAGAAAATCACTTCAGGAAAAATTCTGGAAAATTGATTTTTTCAAGCAAAATTAAGGAAAATTAATCCTCTTATATTTTAATTTTTTGGACCTGTCAAAAAAAGATGACACTTGAAAAAAATTTTTTTTTTTTATAATGTAATTTTTTTTGACAGGTCCAATGATCTCATTTTTTGACAAGTCCAATCCTATAAAAAAAAAAAAAAAAATTTTTTTTCAAGTGTCATCTTTTTTTGACAGGTAATTGAGAAAATTTTTTTTTTTTGTTTTTTTGACAGGTCCCATAATATGAAAATTTTTTTTTTTTTTTTTTCAAATTAATGTAATTTTTTTTTAACAGGTCTCATCCTATAAATTTATTTATTTTTTTTAAATGTCATTTTTTGACAGGTCCAATCCTATAAAAAAATATTTTTTTTTTTTTCAAGTGTCATTTTTTTGACAGATCCAATAATATGAAAAACAATTTTTTTTTTTTTTTTTAAATGTCATTTTTTTTTGACAGGTCCAATGATACTTAAAAGAATTTTTTTTTTTTTTTCAAGGGTCATTTTTTTTTGACAAGTTCAATAATACATATATAGAAAATTTTTTTTTTTTTTTTTTTCAAATGTCATTTTTTTTGACAGGTATCATTCTATAGATTTTTTTTTTTTTTTTAAATGTCATTTTTTGACAAGTCCAATCCTATAAAAAAAGAAAAAAAATTTTTTTCAAGTGTCATCTTTTTTTGACAGGTAATTAATTGAGAAAATTTTTTTTTTTGTTTTTTTGACAGGTCCCATAATATGAAAATTTATTTTTTTTTTTCTTTCAAATTACTGTAATTTTTTTTTTACAGGTCTCATCCTATAAATTTTTTTTTTTTTTTAAATGTCATTTTTTGACAGGTCCAATCCTATAAAAAAATATTTTTTTTTTTTCAAGTGTCATTTTTTTGACAGGTCCAATAATATGAAAAACAATTTTTTTTTTTTTTTTAAATGTCATTTTTTTTTGACAGGTCCAATGATACTTAAAAGAATTTTTTTTTTTTTTTCAAGGGTCATTTTTTTTTGACAGGTTCAATAATACATAAAAATTTTTTTTTTTTTTTTTTTTTCAAATGTCATTTTTTTTGACAGGTATTATTCTATAGATTTTTTTTTTTTTTTTAAACGTCATTTTTTGACAAGTCCAATCCTATAAAAAAAGCAAAATTAAAGAAAATTCATCCTCTTACATTTCAATTTTTTTCTGAAAAATTTGTAAAGGGAAAAATTTGAAAATTTTTCAGGAAAAAGAGGAAAGTGAGGAAATCATTATAGGAAAATTTCGAAATTTTCCAGTGGAAAATCAATCCAGGAAAAATTCTGGAAAATTAACTTTTTAAGCAAAATTAAGGAAAATTCATCCTCTCACATTTTAATTTTTTTCTGGAAAACTGGCAGAGGGAAAATTTTGAAAATTTTCCAGGAAAAAGAGGAAAGTGAAAAGATTATTATTGGAAAATTTCAAAATTTTCCAATGGAAAATCACACCAGGAAAAATTCTGGACAGTGGACTTATTTAGGAAAAATTTACCTCTTGCATTTTAATTTTTTTCTGGAAAATTGGCAAAGGGAAAATTTTGAAATTTTTCCAGGAAAGAAAGGAAAGTGTAAAGCTCATTATAAGAAAATTTCAAAAATTTCCAATGAAAAGTAACTCCAGGAAAAATTCTGGAAAATTGACTTATTTAAGCAAAATTCACTTCTTGCATTTTAATTTTTTCCTGGAAAACTGGCAAAGGGAAAATTTTGAAATTTTTCCAGGAAAAAGAGGAAAGTGTGGAGTTCATTATAGAAAAATTTCAAAATTTTCCAGTGGAAAATGACTCCAGGAAAAATTCCGGAAAATTGACTTATTTAAGCAAAATTCACTTCTTGCATTTTAATTTTTTCCTGGAAAACTGGCAAAGGGAAAATTTTGAAATTTTTCCAGGAAAAAGAGGAAAGTGTGGAGCTCATTATAGGAAAATTTTAAAATTTTCCAGTGGAAAATCACTTCAGGAAAATTGACTTTAAGCAAAATATCATCTACAACTCACCCACGCAATAAGTTTTTCTAGTCCACCAACAGTACCTGAAAACAAAAATTTAAAAAAATTAATAACATTGTGGCGCCATCTATCAAACAACAATCAAACTTTTTACAGAAATCTGCAATTTTTTAATTTATAAGAATTTGCAATAATACAACTAAAAAAATAATAATTTTTAATCAATTTATTGGCAATCAAATTCGCTCATAATTTGAGTCAAACTAGTTTTTGATTGGCCAGAATTATTGACAGTAGATGTCAATTTCTCCAATTTTTTTGATTTTTTAGAAACTCATTAAACTCAGTTTAATTCAGCCATTGGAGTAGAAAAATATTTGCATCCTTGTCACTTTTAATAATATTTTGATTTTTTTTCTCACTCTTATTACTTTTACTTGCTTCTAATGCCTTATTGGTATTAATCAATGAGTCACAATTGTTAATTATTTTAAATTGTTTCATCAAAATTGTTGCCACATTTTCCTTGATTCGTTCAAAATTGTCTTGACAATGTGGCAACCATGTATTGACACTTATACAGAATTCTAGAATTCTGACCAATCAATTTGTTAGAAATGTGGTGTAAATAAAGTGAATTGTATTGGATTTTAAAAGTGTATACCCTGCCTTAAATCCTCTTTGTTTTTGAACCACTGGCACAAATGTTTGTAGTCAAAAATACCAAAATTCCCCCAAAATTGGGCCTTTTTGATGGTACAAGTTTTGTCCCACTGGGGCTCCTTTTTTCAATTAAAATCAATCAAAATTACCTCAGAGTGAAACCGGGTTTTTGCTGCAACAAATCTTGTCCCACTGCTTTTGTCCAGGACAACAAGTTACAACTTGAACGGTTTTTAATTACAGTATTTAAAATTAATTGTTTTAAGACCATGTAAACAAATAATTGAGGTTAGGAAACCATTTTGCTGTCAAAACGTATCAGCGCCATCTATCAACGAACCACCATAGTTGCCGAATTACAGATTCCTGTATTAGTGATTATTTGATGCCATTGATGTGATTTTGATTGCAAAATTATTAAATTTGATCGATAATTAATTAAATTGCACCATCGAAGAAACAAAGTTGTTTTTTTTTTTTCGTTTTGGATGGAAATTACAGGAATCTGTAATATTTTATTATTGAATTTTGTGATAATTTGAGTTTAATTAATGAAAATGGGGAATTTTAAGTATTTTAAACGATTGTTGATAGAAAAATTCATCAAAATTAATTACCTATTGATAAAAATGTGGAAAATTATTAAACAAAATTGTCAGCGCCATCTATTAACGAGCGGCCAAAGTTACCAATTACAG